TACAGAATAAAATGGACAAACATTCTAAAAGTTCTGTGCAGAATTATTTCCTCTTTCCAGCAATAATGTTTATGTGCAGATTCTGCAATGTTCTTTCGAATAATCGCCACAAACTTCAACCTGTGCATTTCATGTACTCTAACTTCAGCTATTTTTTGAAATTTTCGTTCTGAACTTTTGGAAATGCATCGATAACAGTTGGATAGAGTAAACAAAATGCAACGTTATCTTTCTGGCATCAATAGCTGGCTTTTCAGATTTTCTAAAATTATCATTTTGAAGCTACCAAATTTAATGCTTGTTTATCCCAAACCCCGTAGGACAGCTACGGTGCATTCGATGCAGCTTCTTCTCCTCTTTTTGACAGATGTTTTTTGTTTCTGATTCGTAGAGGCCTCGATTAAAAATTGCCATAATTCTAGTTTTTGATGCGTCCCATGCTGCATTTACGTTAGTTCAAAAATAAGTACTTCGAGGCGGCAGAAACTCATTTATTTGTTAAAATTGATGTCTAATCCTAATCGATTTTTGGAAGTTCAAATTTGCGAAAATTTTATAGTGTCTGAAGCGTTTGTATATTTGCGACTTCGCAAATACGAAAACTTGGAAACCTTGTTTTTAAAAACACTGAAAATGCCGGCTGTCGATGCCAAAAGATTGGATTTTGTAGAATTTTATTTGCTCTATCAAAGCTTTTTCAGTTGTCCGGAACAAAAATCTCAAAAATAGCTGAATTTAGGGTACGTGAAGTGCATAGGTTAGAGATTGTGGCGATTATTCGAATTATTGCAGGAATTCGAGCAAAAACATCACGGCTGAAAAAATTCTGCCTAGAACACTTCTTAGAATATCTGTACATTTTTATTCTGAACGATTTGAAAATAGATCTAAAGAACGGCACGAACTTTCGGGCCCACCTAGTAAAACTCTATTCCAGGTTGTCATCACCTTCATGCTTCCTAGTATTGGTTTTCTTGGAATTGTTGGGAACGGCCTGTCAGCATTTACATATTCTAGAAAAGAAATGATCTCCAGTTTGAATGTGTAAGATAATTCAAATTTCACCTGCTGAATTTTTAAGTAACAGTGTGATCTTCAGATACCTATGTGCATTGGCCTGCTCCGATATCGTAATTATTCTAACTGCATTCTTTCTATTCTTTATGGAAAGTATGAGAAGGAGATCTGAAACAATCACCTATTATTTTGCCGTACTATCTCCAATAATGTTTCCTCTAGGTAAGTCGAATTATCTCGTCAATCTTTAATCAATTTTCCTAAAGTAATCGGTTATCACACAGTAAATAGTTTACAAAAAGTAACTCAATTTTTGAAATGTGTTTGGAATGCAATGAGTCAAATACGAGCTTTGGCTCATCGTTGTAAAAATTTGCTAACAAAATCCTCTTTATTTAAATCAGGTAAATTCTCATTTTTGCATCCGTTGGAAGAAAGATACATCTGCTAATATTGTTTGAGGCTTCCATCTATGAATTTCTACTCTAGATATCCTCTTTGATGTTCTAATAGTCCATTTGTCGTCCCTTCTATCAGTAATGTAACAGCTCCATCAGGGTTTCACTTCCATCAACTTCTGCTATAAATTCTCTCTACTGTAGGGGAAGGAAGCCTCAAAAATTTATTTTATCATAGTGCTGCATCTCATGTCTCTTCTCCCAAGGGACTCGCAATTTTTTTGGATTTTTTTTTCGTTTTATTAATCAAAATTCGTTTTTGTTCACCGTTGTTCTTGAAAGGGTAACATTTGTGTAGAGGAATTTTGCAAGAAATTTCTCTCTCACAAATAAATCGCAAGCGACAGCGCTCTGGTACTCGCAGCCGAGTTCCATGGTCCTGAATGGTTTAAATATGGACCCCGCAGTTAGGCTTCTTGCGAAATCAAGCTTATTCGTGGGGTAAATTCAGAGTTTTTTGTGTGCGAATGAAGTGGCTGAGAAATTCTCTATCAATATATGCATGAACGATTATTAAAAAAAGGGCAAGTGCTGCACGAAGCTTTAGGCAATATTAGGTCAAGAATCTTCACAGGATGGGGTGGGGGGAGGTCTGGCCCTGAAACTGAAAATTTGGCAAATTGCTAGTTCAACCAAAACCTCCAAGTTTTCCTTATTTCACTGTTTTTGCAGGTTTGACAGCACAGACGCTCAGTGTTTTCATTACTGTAGCCTCTGCATTCGACTGCCTGGTGCTCGTAACAGGAAGTCCTAAGATTCGCAACAGATTTTGTACTGTTAACTCCTCTCTGATGGTGAGTCTGTCTTTCATTCTCCGATATCATCCTAATACTCTACTATTGATCTGTATGGTTTGTGCAAGCCGTTCTAGAAAACTGACTAAGTGACAAACTGACTAACTGTCAAAAGTCTATCTAATTTGATTGAAGAGCTGATTTGGGTTTGATCGCACTGTACGAAGATTAGACTTTTCCTAACCAATCTATGAAATCATCAACTTGACAATCTAAATCGTAGGAGTTTGAATCTTCTTCATCGAAATGTTTCGGCTAAGTTTGCGCATGAGTTAAATCTATGGGCTGAATTTTTTGTGAATGAAATAAATGTGGATTTTGTTTTATCAGATCAGGAAAAAGTTACAGTAAACCGCATCGATGCGACTTTACGCGTAGGGTAGTGTATAAGTTTTTTAGTCCATCCCGAAATGATAATCCATTTGCAGAAATTTTTCAAATCACAGATGCTTTCTACAGCTAAGGATACTAACACATAATTGTTCCTGTTTGTCTGTGATAGAATGTTTTCAGATTTTGGCAGCCATTTTCTTAGTGGCATTTATATATAACTCTCCACATATGTTCGAAATTTATGTTGTGGATTGCTGGAGCATGCCATATGGTTCAGTTTCCAAAGACGTCTGTCCAACTGCACTAAGAACAAATCCGGTGAGCGAGTTGAAAAGTTTTTGAATGATTTTTTTTTCTCGGGCCGTGAGTTAAACACACTATTTGCGAAATTGTAGGATTATCTGACAATCTATTACGCTTATATGTACACGATTATTATGGCAGCTGGTCCTGTTTCTCTTCTAATCGTTATCAACTCAGCAATTGTTATTTCTATGAAGCGAAATAAAGGAAGTGAACAAAAGGAGTCTGACATTTTGACCCTAGTGTTGGTCGTGTGTTTATTCATATCCTGTAACGTATTGGTGAGTCTGTGAAAATTTTTTGACTCTAATTTGACGATTTCAACATTTTTTTTTCAGCCACTGACAGTGAACTTTTTGGAGCTACTTTTTATGATTGTAAACGCTTATCTGATCGACCTTTCTAATTTAATGGTAGTCCTGAACTCTTCATGCAATTTTTTGATATACTATGCATTTGGATCGAACTTTCGGCGTACACTTCGCCAATACCTCAGTAATATGCTTGGACGAGGAAGAGCTGAAAAGTTTCATCACATTCCTGTGTATCTGCTACCACCACCACAAGAATTGCTCATCTAATTACAGTTTGTTATCGAATTATTGATCTAATTGATCTATTCTATTGGCCTATTGGATCTCAGAATCTCTGGAAGTTTACTAAGGCTCGAGCGAATGAGTAGATCAGCACTCCTTTTTATAAGCTGATGTCTTGCCCCTTCTATTTTTATTGAACCATTGTCTTTAAATTCAATAAGCACTTTTTGGCCTATATAGGTGAAAAGGTGCTCATACGATGGGGAAGTACGAGTTGAAAAATCAAAATCAAGCTGGTGTAACAAGCTTTATGACAGGAAAAAAAATTCTGCATAACTACCAGAAATCAGGGATTGAACAGTAAGCTCGAGCCATGATGAAAGAAGAAAGTCCTTAAAAAATGGACGATCTATTTTCGCTCCATCTTGTCATGCAAAATAGATATTTCTCTACAACTTCGTCGACGCGTTTCTGTACTAATGTATTTTTGTACCTTGTTGAATTATTCTAAGCCCTGTATTCATATGAACTTCGATGAAGACGAAGGCGTTAGAAAATAGCTCTTAGAAAACACTAGCAAATTTTCTACTGCTCAGGCCAACTAGGGTTTGATCACAAGGAGGACATGCTAAATACTGAACGAGGTTTCCTACAACTTCCATAATTATTTAAAATTGTTGTGTCATGATTGCCAATAAATTGCTACATGTAATTGTTCAACATTCCATGCCATGACTATTTGTGACACATTCACGACAACACGACCCACCGGTGGATCCTACTTGTTCTGCCATTTCGGACAATATGACCCACGGGTAGGTCGTAAGTTCGACAAAGCGAAAGGCTCTGGTCCGAAACGGCTGTGATTGAAAAATCGGCCTTGTCGTGAATGTGTTAAGCAATCTTTATAGGCGTCAGAAGTTCCTCCGGAATATTCTGTTGAAGGAATGACTCTTATTCTAAAAGGTTCAACCACTACTTTCTTCATCTTATTTACACCACTTAGCTGCTTTGACCATAGAACCTTATCACACCAGTTGTTGAACTGTCTGTCAATTTCGTCCTTCAACATGTACAAAACGTTAAAGGCAGTGTCCAGGCTAACCCAACACCCTCCGCTTAGTACCGACCCTGAATGTAGGCCCCAGGAGAGGGGCATCTGCGTTAGTCCGTCTAATGTTGTCTCTGAATGGAGACAATGGACTTGGAACACAAAGTGCTATCAAGCTCCGCCTAGATTCTACCAAACTCCGCCCATCCATGCCATGAAAGCCGTCCGCGCCCTTAAGGCAGGGTCCTCAGGAATCGGGTTTTTGGGGGTTTTGGACAATTTGAACTTCATAACTGTAACCAGGGCTACGGAAAGGTCCAGAATGGCAAAAACATGGGGGGGGGGGAATTTTGGGTGGACGCTGCCTTCAAAATTCAATCATCAACCATCTGATTTCCTTTATTCCTACACCAAGCATTATAGAAAATGATTGACTGCTTGATTGTGTGAGTCATAAAATAATATAGAAGGGGAAGTAGCTAAACTCGAGGTGTATCTGGTGACACAGTTTGTTAACAATATTTATTGATCAACGAAACTTTCAGCTAGATACATCAACAGGGTCACAAGCTCTGAGTTGTTTTATGCCGAATTTAGCGTTTAGTTTATATGCAAATGTCAATATAGAATCTAGATAAATCGCATTCTTCCTGTACCGCAAAGCTTCCATCGACAGCGTTTGACGTCGTGTTTGACTAAAAGTGTAGATCAATTCCATGCTACTCTGGATATAACCTTTGATTCAACTGGCTTGGCGGCTGGAAGGCGGGCTTCGTGACCTAATTAAGGCCGCTCGCGCCCGCGACGCAGTCTGCGTCTCTGTCGCGCGCGTGCTTTCTGATCATTATCTAGCCTTAAATAGGTCATAAAGCCCCGCCTTCCAGGCGCCAAGTCAGTTGAATCAAAGATATTTCTAGTGGCATGCACATTTGGAATTCAGAGATGACAAACAGTTCTGATGAATGAGAACGCCCTGAACATTTTTTGGAAAGTGCGGTGAAATATTTGAAGTTCTTCTAAAAAGAGATTTGATAGCATACTTGGATTTTGTTCTTGCAAAGCATCGTCGTACTTCGAAGATAAAGTATTCAAGTAGTTTCTCCAAAAATCGAGCTGCCTTGAATTGGATTCTTCATTGCTTTGAGGTGACTGAAAAACCAGAGTTATAGAGGATAACAATATCATCTATGATTTGCAGTGTCTCATTTTTTCTGCTAGTAATAAAGGTCCAGAAAATCATTGAGCTATCCCAAACAGCTTATCGTGCAATGGTCAAATTTATAATGATTTTCAAATTAATTTCAAATGCTAATTTTGCTAATGATTGCGAAAATTTGATGGACAAAGAGAATCAAATATTTTGCGTTTGGACCACAGCTTATATCATTTCAACAAGCTTAGCTACAATTCTACGCTTTGCAAACAAATGCGAACAAAGTCACACAGACTAGCAAGACTAGTATGGATCAGCAGTGCCCATATAAACTCCAAATTTAGCTTAGAACTCATAAGTGCGTCATTACCCTGTTAATACCCTAAAAATTCAAGAAAATGGTTCTCTACAGAGACAAAAATCGTCGTGACAATCAACAATTCTCGATCGCCGCGTTTTTTTTTCGTTCTGAGATTACCGAATAACTTTCTCTGTTTTTCTGTTTTTTTTCTCTCTTTGATGTCATACTATCGTCATTGATGTTGTTATATTGGTGTTTAATAACAAAGTGGCGAGTCTTTGAGACTATATAAGATAAAAATAAAAACAAGCATTCTGAGAATAATAGACTGTTCATCTGTTGCTCAAATAGATCCGACGATGTGTTCTTTGGTGGGAAATTACTCTAGCACAATACTTAAAGCTTCAACGCAAGCAGGAATATTATAAATTGAGATTTGCACAAGAAAAACTCAAACCAATGCTAAAGGTGCAGGTTTTTTTTTACGATTATCCAATGGTCCAAAGATATTATAATTGGGAAAATTAACACATTCTACTTATTAGGTTGGCACATAAGTAATGCAATTTTCCAAATAACTTTCGCCTTTTTGAACGTAGCGCATTCATTTTTTGGCAATATAAGGATTATGATGTAAACTGCAAATGCGGACATTTCTGCCGAATTGCCATCCTATGTAAGGGTTACGATAGGTTTAGGATATAATGGAAAAATTTTTGAATTGCGTCAGATTTTGCTGAATCTTGCCCTATAGGGGTCAATCGACATGCTGATCACAAAAATGAGAACCGCTTCCCATGAAAAAGCCGCCTCTTTTCCAAGGTCGAGAAATGAAATTTATCTTAGCGACAAATGAATACGATATTCGTGTTATTGGAACACTATGTTGTGCGAAGTTCTAGCGAATTCTAAGGTTCCCCAGCTTATTGTTAGTTACTGACTGGTTACCATCAAAATTTGACGCGTTTGTTCAAGCTCTTGCAGGCGCCCCATCTTGATTTGCCTCTAAATTTCTTTCTTTTTTCAGTAATTCTAATGTGTCAACTTCTAGATACCTGCTGCCCATATGTCCTTTTTGATAGTTTGATTCAGGTTTTGTAGGCTTTATTTTTGCCAAAAAACCCGTGAGATCTCGATTTTGAACAATTTTTGAAAATGCTTAAGTTTTTTCTATTACATTATGCCAGAAAATGAAAGTGCTACATTATATGAGAAGAAGCTTATGGGAATAGTTGCAAAACTTACGCGCCAACTTAGTACTTTCAATCGGACCTGTAAAGTGAAACTATATATGGTTTAATAAAACGTGGTTCTATGGGAAGTCATAAATCTCACATAAACAGCGTCCTGAATTCCTAAACTTTGTAGTGATGCAGATTTTGGGTTTCAACAACTACTATAGTGTTGTTGTAGTATACTAGGTTTAAAAATTCAAAGGACGTCCTGAAATTCTCATCAGCAACCATACAAAACGGAATCGTCTGAATAGAATTTATAACTTTTGTCGACAATTCAAAGGTTGGAAGTAATTAATAAGAAGTCAGAAACAAAACTATTTGATTATATTCAATACTTAGTTCTCAGTGAATTAGTAAGCTTTTCCGAGATTGTTATCCGTTCATCAATACAACGACATCATCACATCAAATGGTCGAGCATGGAATATCATTTGATTATAATTTTTCATTACAGCTATGCTCCAGAATAATACAATTCAGTATTCTTAAAAACAACCGTTAATTTTATAGTTTTACTATACAGTAGCAACTTTGTATTGATGCAGATTCTGATGCTGATTTTTCATTATAGACGGCAAGAGTACATTAAACCGTGCGAAAATTATCGACTATTGAAAGGAAAAAATGAAATGCTCTTTGAAAAATTCATATTCTTAATAAAGTCAAAATCCCATGTTTAGTGATTCTAAATGCTGCAAAATCCCATAAAAAACTTGTTTTCATTTGCTATGATAGCCATCAAAAAAAGTACAAAAAAAAGAGATTTTTCAGATGACACAATATCAGACACAATTTTCCCAAATCTTTCCGTTTCAGAGGCAGCTTATCTTAGAAACGAGATACCCATGTCGATAATTTTTGCAGGTACTTGGGAAGGCGGTTACGAACGAGCAGAGAAGTGATACATATGATTTTCTTTTTTATTAGTAGTTGTTGGAAATGTGTCATGAGTGCTTAATATAAGAATGCTTCATCATTACAAAATACCTTCTCAGCTATGAAAAAATGCGCCATCCTAAACTTTTTTTGAGTGAGTCCCAACATCCGAGTGTGTTCTTGAATATCAAAAATTCGAAAATAATTTTTTCTTGTTTCAATTCCCTCTTCAGTTGCCCAAATACTTGCTAACCTTCGAAAGATTTTCTGGGACTACTGAGAAAGGGCCTGGGTTACAAAAACACTGAAAAAACTTGAAAGCACTATGTGGATGTGGGGGGGGGGCGGTGAGGATGTAACCAAGCCAAGCTCGGTTTTCAATATCAGCCTTGTCTTATGGTTAATCTCTGCTCTCTCCTCAGTCTGATTACCGTAATCAAGCAACTTCAAACATCATGGAGCTTTGGTTATTTGTTAAAAAGACCAAAAATGTTGATAATGAAGAGCTTAAGAAAAGTTGACGGTTTACTAACTAGTAATGCTCAGGTTTACCACAGGTTACAGTGATTAATAGTTGGTACAGTTTACGTCACGCTTACATTACTATTGAATATGATTGTAGAGTTAGTAAAATCAAATTTTATGTCCTTAGAAAGTCATTGATTCCAGATTTTATGCTATACGTGCATTGTATCCAATATATCCAATTCCATGATTGCTCCTTGTGGTTATTTGAGTCTTTGATTAGAAAACTATCAAGAAAGTTTTGAATACTATGAATAAAGTAACAGATTTTCCAAACCACAGAGCTGCCAAGAATCATTAGCTGTTGTAAAAGAAATGAAAAGCATCCACTTTTTTCATTGCAGCCAATGCTTGTTCTTTAAGGTCTACAAGCTCAAAAACTTGTGCAAAAAACTAATTTTCCTTCTAAAATCAATAAAGGTTTTCGAAAACTTTGTGGTGATTCAAATATTTGTAAGAAGTGATGTTATGCTTAATTACAAGATTTCTTTAAGTTGCAAAAAGAAGATACCGTTACTATGCGAGGGCTTTCGTTAGCTATGATCATTGAAGCTGCATGATGTCGTCAAAAAAGGGATATTATGAATAAGAATCTCCTGAATAGTGACATTTTCGACAGTGGGGTAGCATTTATTCGTTAATTGCGTTAAGCTGTAACAACAAAGAATTTACATCGCGATTAGTTGGAGTATCATCACTGAGTTTGGAAAATTGGTATGGAACAATGAGAATAAATTATTAGTTTTTTTACGTAAGAAAATTGTGGAGAACATTAAGAGATTAATAAGAATCTCAACTTGTGTTCAATGCTTGACATTATTTGGATATACTTGCTGCAACCTGCATTACTAACATGTAGATGAAAAAATGCTTAATTTAAGTTCTTATTGGTACCTTTGTTTACAGAGTCTGCAGAATATAAAAGCGAACATATTGTGTTTCCATAGGTCGGTAGCTTACTAAGAGCTCTTGAACTTTAGCAATACATAATTGACTAGTATGAAAATGATCAAAACAATGTTTAACCTGCTATAAAATTCAGCAAGTAATGACTGAGAAAACTAGAATTATTTACTATTTTCTCGGAGCCTGAATCTCAACGAAGTAACGTAAAAGTGAGCTCTGAGTAGCCAGAGCAAGTTTTGTAAATTCTATTATTTTGGTGCAAAACTGCGTCAGCCTAAGTGTGTCATAGCAAGAGGGACAATAATACATTTCAATGCTACAAAACTATGGGCAACTGTGTTTGCCGCCCAAAGGAAACTAGTTAATAGCGCACATCCCGGAACTAAGAAAAAATCACAGAATGAAGAAAAACTAGAAAAATTTTCAGGGTATACCTGAACTGAGCTAATTTTTTGAGCTTTTACAGTATACTATGTAAAATCTACCTGCGATTTTGTGAATGACAGTGTTACGAGTGCGATTAGAACGACGGTGACTAGCATGCCCGTGACAGCTTGAATGGCTCAGTCCGGCCTCGACTCTACCTAGCATGATGAGTTCTATGTGGAGACGTCAACGTATATTCATGCACATCTGATGCTGTGACTTGCAAACGAGCTAATATTCATCAAAAATGACATCAACACCAATTCGTAATGGACCAGAAGCAGTATGTGTCGAAAATTTGGCAGCGCTAACGTTTCAAAAGCTTGAGATTCGTTTTGAGACCATTGGAGCTGCCCCTGCTGTGAGAATCGAAGAAATACCGTACTATACCATGGATGCTGTTTAAGTTTTAGAACGCAAAATATGTACGACTTTCACAAAATTCGATCTGGTATATCTACACTTATGTATGGATTCATTTAATTTATCCTCATTATTCAGCGACGAAACCACTCCAAAAAGAATAAAAGCACAAGTTTTAGAAAGCATGGGAAGATAGCTGTTTGAAAAATAGGAAGATTCAATTTTTGCCAATGAACGAAGTCCAAGAACTTTCTTGCGTGGGAAGTCTGAGCAATTCAGATTCTGCAGTACTGCACTTTATTCTCAAAGAATTACAAATTTCAATAGAATCATTGCAAGTAATGAATGGAATTTAAATTCACATAAGTAAAGAAAGAAAAAGTTTTCAAAGCAAATAGACCTTTAGTTACATATGTCACAGCAATTTTTTTAGAATTTACCTTCTTGCATTCCAAAATGTTCTGTAAGGTCGACATTTAGTTGTTAAGGGCTAAATGCTGTTACAATAGTGATAACATACAAGAAGTCTACATAATTCTATAACCTGTACTTTATGGCATTAGCATATCTTTCACAATGTAGTCGAAGTGTAGTAGTCCCGATTAAGTACTATATTTTATATGCGATTCAGGAAAGATGAAGATAGAAAACGTTTCAGAAAGTCCTTAAAAGTTGCGTAAAATTTTCAGCTGAATTTTTTCTGATTGCAAATGTGATCTAAAAATTTGCGGCAATAATCAATAAGGGATAATAAATAATGTATCTCTTTTAAACCATTCTAACTTAACGACGCAATCGAAAGTCTCATTAGCTTTCATCAGATACAATGTTTAAATTTCCGCCTCAACGCAGCTTTTCATGTGATTGACTTTCTTGCCACTTTTTCTTAAAGTGATTTTTCTTAGCGATATAATGGGCATAGTTTAGTAATAAAACCTAAAGAGGTGAATTATAAAATCGATGATGCTGGGATGGACTGTTATTAGTCAAATTTTTTGTTTTGTGAAGCGTCCTTGAAATTGCAATTAGCAGGCACAAACATATGTTTTTGTCATTCAACTTCTAAACAAAACAACACAAAAACTTGGTTCAGAATCTGGCTTTGAGGACCATTCGAAACTAATAGAAGGTGTATTCGGTATCCCTAGTTCCAGAAAATTATTATTTTGATGGCTGATGGCGCTCCTACGACCAGTCCGATCAAGGTTCATTTCCTTGCTCCAAACTCTCTAAAAATCAGGAAAAGGTAAATAATTACCCGAATCTTGGATTTTAAATTGTAACAGGTTGACTTAGGGTTCTGTATAATGCTGAGCATTTCGGGGAAGATTTGATAGTATATTACACATAAGATAATTTTATTCATTAAATTGTATGTACAGACAAAACAAAAATCACAGCTTCCATGATATATCAAATTATGAACCTGAGTTAAATGAAAGACAAAAAAAATTGCCGTTATAGCACTGACAATGTGTTATCAGATAGGCGACCCAAATTTGTTTGTAGTACACCATTTTCTGTCGGACTTCTTGGTCGTGGATGTCGGAACGTAATCTGTAAAAAAAATTCTATTTAGGAAGAGAAAGTCCAGTTCTTAGCAGTAATACGTTCTATTTGTTATTTCAGGAAAGAAGGCCATATAATCTCTTAATTTTTTGGAACCACCCACTCTCGTGAACTTCTCTGGCCCTCGCGTCATCACTCTGTCACAGTTGAGCGCTTTTACGCTTCGATCAAAATAAAGTCATGACAGATGGTTAGCTTGTCACTTCTCATAATCCCGCTTTAGCATACGTTATGAATTCCCACTTAATATAACGTATATATGTGTGTGTCAAGGTTTGACTATTTGGTTAGGTACCAGGAAGGAAAACAGCGATAAGTTTACTTTTTCTATTCTGAAGCTATACATAGGTTTTAATAATCGAGAAAAACTTTAAAAATATATAATCGAAGTACTAGTAAAGGCTAATGCATGACGAAGGCGCGAAGCGCTTTTAGTTGAGCGGATGCGAACGCGGCGCGCGTATCCTTACCGTTGTAATTCTCGCGCCTTATGCGCTCTCCGGTTAATAAGCCACGTTCGCGCCCAAAGATATCGCGCCTTCGTCATGCAGCAGCCTATACAAGTATTAGTGCTTTTGAACAAATCGAAGACAGATCCGAGAAATTTGATGACTTTAACAGAATTTTTTTTCTTCTTGGAAGCAGATCCATAAGAGAAACTCACCGCATCTATAGAGAAAACTGTCGAAACAGGGTCGACTGTGTCATCGAGGTGCAAAATGTTCCTAGGATCGCTATAAGGAGCCTTGGATTTATCTGAAAGTGTTAGGGTTGAGCTCAATACTAACATGGACACTAAACAGTAAAGCAATGTCCTAAAGGAAAAGTTTGGGTAAGGTACCTGGAATTCTTTGATAGAGATCAGGAGACCTTGACAAATACTGTTCCTAAGCAGCAGCTCATGAAATTCATTCCTGACGGAAAATCCCAAGTGCGACTTTTGTCGTGTACCGTAGTCGGGGTACTGTACTGGGTAAGGGTTTACAGTCGAATTTCTCAGCCTGGATTGAACCCTATGAGCTGCCGCTTGGGTAATGGCTCTTTTCTAACCGCCTAATCACTCTTCGCTCAAGAAACTCAAATGCTCAGAATAGTTCATACACTTCCCTTGAATAAAAATTGGTAGTTCAGAACATACCGATATTCCCCTTTTTCCGAGGTCTTGCCGCAGCTTTCGGTCGCGAAACGCGATGTTGCGGCTGCCTCTCAATTCGAATGTCACTTTCCTGCCATCTGATTGAGAAAGTGAAATAGACACAACTATATACTTAAAATCTTTAACAACCTTGTCGCATCTTTATCACTCCCGTATTGATCAATAACCGAATAGAGTATCTCGTCCTTTGTGTCCTACAACATTTCCGGATTACCAAATTCCAAAGTTGAAAAAATGAAGAAGAGCAGAAGCTATGTTCTGTATAGATCATATGAAATATTATTAGGTCGTGTGGGAGGTTTTGCTGAAATTTAGGCTTCACCAAGACCTGAGAAAATGAAAAAGCTATGCGAATACCCGACCAAACAGAAATGAGCGTTTCATTTCTGTGCATGAAAAATATGAAATTAGTTTGGGCTCTTAAAGTGGGCTTGTAAACTATAAAGCTATAAGCAGCGAGCTCGAATAGTTACCTCATGTTCAATAGCATCTCTTAAGTTCTTCTCTGCGCTATCCATTCGACTATCAGGGGACAAAGGCACGTGTTGATTGTCTCCTAGATAATAATTATTTGATTTGGAAAAAACCAAAGATACCTATAAAATACAGATTAAGTAGCATGTACTCATAAACACACCTATTTGTTCCTTAAATCATGTTTAAACAGATAACGAAGCTAAAATACAGTTCTTGCAACCCTACCGGATGAATTGTGCCTTATTCAGAATGTCAAAGCAACTACCTCAAATATCCCCCCCCCCCCCGCCCCCATCCCCGTATTGTTCGGAGCGAGCGAATCTTCTGTTAATCCTCGAGTATGTTTGTGTCATGTCACTTTTGAAGCTATTCGCGTGGCTTAGAGATTATATAGCGAAGCTTATTAATGTGAGTTTAAAGGCGAAGAAATATCAAGAATAGGAAATGCGATTAGATGCAGGTCGAGTTTGAGCTCATGAATGGGTAGTCAACTGGATGATTAGCTATACAAATTATGAGTTACCACTATGAATCAGGTTCAATTAATTATTTGTGAAATGAATGAAGATCTGCAACGCTCTGTGCTGTTTTGGACTTCCATACACTAGGAGTACGGTATTTATAGGAGAAAGTGTCAGGTAATGGATTTCTTGTGAAAAGAATCTCGTTGAGATGGCTTGCCAAAGCAACCCCCCAAACTACAGCTCATATGATTCACTTCTGCCCAAAAGGATGACCCTAACCATCTTCCGAGCGGACCAATCAGCATCCTCTAGTACAGTAATCTAATTGGCGCGCTCGGAAACGGTACGGTTTAAGTGAGAGTTAAAAATTGACTTTATTGGCCACGAATGGATCATAAGGGCTGACTCTTCTCCAGTGGTTAAACTAGGGTGTTCTGATTCATATGTGCAACAAAACTCAGCAATTTTGAATGGACGCTGCCTTTTAGTTGCAGTCCGCTAAGCTAATGAGCATGTTTACAGTGCACTCAAAAAATCGTGACGATGCCGCGACCGCGCGCGACACGCACGCACTTCTGGCAACCGCAATTTCCTGGTTTTCATCTATACTCGAATGGTTTTTTTGCTTACGAATGATAGTATTTGGACACTATGGGTGGCTGAGCTGAGCTTGAAATACTCGGCTTTTCGTATGAGTGTTTTCTTGGCCCCGTGGGAGCAGAGACCGCAGTCAAGTCCGTCGTCACAATTTTATAAATGGCCTATATGGTGCTCGACTTAAAATCACAGATTGTAGATGCGCAATTATGGAGAGATGAAGGTGGCTATATTTGCAAAAAAACTAATTATTCTTCTCAGTCCTTTCCATTTCCAAACTGCGAAGTATTGCTGATCCTTCCGGAGACCAAGCAAAGGGTGCTCCTCTCCCTCCAGCGCGGAATCAAAGAGCAAAACCATACAGCTTTGCACTGCATAAACACTTGAGAAAAACCACTTCTTGGTTTATAACCTAGCCATAGGCTGTAAGCTCTGCTAAAGAAAAAGCATCATCATTTTTTTTCGTTTTCCAGGCTATTTCGTCAATTTACCGTTAAAGCACTCAAGGGCGAGCATCTTCTAGCCAAGAAGATGGGCCTGACTTCGTCGAGGCAAGGAGTATCGGGCATTCCGCAAGAGGCAACGGGCCCTAATCCCTGCTATTCGCCTCTCCTCACTCTCATTTTTTGTCTCTGTCGTTGAGTCATGTGTTTTTACATATTTGTGAAAAAAGGAAAGAAAAGAAACATAATACAGTCCTCGATCGAGTTAATTTGGCTTATACACTACTGTGTCATCCATATAACTATTGAGCTGGAGCATGAGTTTTGCTGTACAATTTTTCTCTTTTTTTTTTTGAAAATTTGAAAAGCATACAAGATGCCCACAGGATAAAAGCAAAGGTCATAAACTAAACTCAACGTGATCTTCGCTGAAGAAGATGTTGCAAAAATTACTCAATTTCATTTCTGCACTACGTTTTCCATTCTTTTTTTCGCCAGAAAAACCTCTACTTCACTCAATTTCTCATTTTTCCAGCAATTGCAAAAGAGTAATATATCTAAAAGCAAATTTGCTAAAGGTCATGCGAAAATTTTAAAAGGCTTTGATTTTATTTTTTCATGAGTAGTGCGCTGTAAAGATCCTAATCCTAAAACGACACAAAAAGCATGAAAATTTCTTTCCGAGAACTTAATGTAACTAATGTAGACTAGTCCTTTGAGTGTGATATAACTTATATTCCGACTTGATGTGTGAGAAATCCCTAAGACTCCTTGGTCGAACTTTGAGCCGTTTTAGGTATGTCTCACTCAAACAGAAAATGAATTACGTTGTCATAAAAACCTAAATTTGATCAGGCGCGAAAGCTGAATTTCATCGCTTTTTTGCGAACGAAAGCATTTCGCGTCGAATTCTAATGCTCTTCTTTTTCCTTCATTGCTTCCACCATTTTCTTAAAGAGGAATTTAACCTCTGCGTCATAAATTATGGCAGGGACGTCGGAACCCGTTACTTGCTTCTTTTAGGTAGTGCTACCTCACAGTGCAGCAGAACTTCTTGTTTATGAGAACTAAGATACTCTTTCCGGATTTTCGGTCACCAGCTCATTTTTGACCTCTTCATTGGGAAAGACCTTTACTTTAACCTTTACTTCTCGAATTTCATGCTCAAACTATTCTGCTTTAGGCATTTTAGCTTAAAAAATGATTTTGCCGCTTTGTTATTTATCCAAATCGGTATACATGGAAAGAGTACTTTGAAAACCCATAAGCACCCTTTGTTCGACTAGAATTACTCTTTTCAATAAAGAAAAGGTGCAAAAAAATGAGACACCTCAATTTTTCCATGCGCAATCGAAGGAATCTTTTATAGATTTTGACTATAAGAATGCAAGTCGCGTTCTATTAATAAATTGTCTATCTAATCACAGAATTATCTACGTATTTATTTAGCCTGAAAACAAAAGAAAAACTCCCAGAAGTAAGTTATTGTTATGTCCTAGTTGACGATGAAATTTCCCTTATGTTGACGAAAAATTCTGAGCACTCTGTAGCAGTAGAAGTAGAAACGCAAGTTTTCTAAATAAATAGCCGCAAGCTAAAATTCTTGTAAAGTTTTGCAAGTCAGAACAAAATTTTTTGCGAACTCAACAATCGAGGTTCTTATATTATGGTGTTTCATAATTTTTTACCGTTTTTACTGTTACCGCCGTCTTTTTATCTTTTTTTGTATCCTTCCTTCAGCTGATTTGGTTTGGGTAATCATTCGATAGGGAAAAGCAAGCTCTACAAGATGGCTGTCAAGAGTGTGCCCAAATCGTATTCCACATAAAGTTCTGAGCTAAAATCTAATAGCAGTAAAAAACGAATTCTGCTGTCAAAAATCGTATCTTTGCCCCAAAAAACTTAAACAAATTCCCCGTTTATCCTACCATATGCTTGACACATCGCACTTCCAAATGTACAATTTCCCAGTTTTTTCCATAGAGAAATTAAGAAAAATATAGATGAAGTAAAATGGCAAACTCCGCCCCTAGATGTCCTGAGCTCTCCCATGCACGTGGTCATGTAGCCCATACATGTAAAAGTACAATCGTGTATTTGTATCCCTTGTAGGTGCCTCAGTTTTCGAGAAATGCTGATGTTTAGGGTAAAAACGATACAAAAATTATGAGAGACCCTGGCAAATACTGAGAACTTTGTCAAAAATTGCTAGCTTGTATTTATATGAATATTGAGCTCGCCATGTGATGTCTCCAACTAAGAAATATTCTTTTGGATTATTAGAGTCTAGCTGAAGGATTGCCTCAAGCAAAGTGCATGTTCTTCTCGCAAGAGCCTTTCGATATATGATCTTGCTTCGTAAAAACGTTGTACCTGCATTGCCTAAGGGGGATTTGCAAATGCGAGCGGCACCAGTGCCTATTAGAGCTCATAGAATAGAAGAAATAAAAAGAAAGAGACTCAATTAGTGAGTGGAGAAACTTCAGCCGTCAACACGGCATTTATATTGAGGCCTCCTGTCTCTGTGTTTGCATATAGCGATGTATATGCACATGTTTTTGCATACAGACACAAATCGAGAGTGTCTGAACTGAAGACAAAGAAGCACAATCTCACCGCTGTCAACATCAAGCTCATCATTCAGGACAGATACCAAGCTCGGCGGTTCTGCATGTGCCGTAGACGCGGTGGCCAGCACTGTCTCCTCCAATTCTCTAAAATATTCTTCGACTGTTCATGGACGATCGGCTGAATCATGATCAAGCTAACTGTGTACGATTTCAAGTGAAACACACCACTGCTGTGAGTCGTTTTACACAATATCTCTTTAAAGTTACCACTGTCAATTTTTTTGTAACTTAATCTGCGTACTGCACACCGTGCGCGCTACTTGACGACATGCACAATCAAAAAATGCTCGTTTTCAGTGATTTCTCTTTGTTTTCTTGTCTCTTGTGATTTTAGTGGATATTTATCAGTTAGGGACCCGTCATACTTCGCCGAAAAAAAGCTGAAAAAAGCCCAAAAAAGCCAAAAGCGCCAGAAAGAACCGGAACGCCTTTTTCGCGCGCAAGTTTTGCCGCTGAAGCATGTGTGTTGATTTCGCAACCGAGTCATTTTTCGCATCATTCTTTGTCGTCTGATCAAAATAACGCCACCAAAAGTTCCAGGAGCTTTCCGGCTCTTTCTGGCGCTTTTGGGCTTTTTCGAGCCTTTTTGGGCGCTTTTTTTCGGCGAAGTATGACGGGTCCCTTAGCAGTACACATTCCCACGCTTTGCCATGTTAAAAGAATCTCTACTGAGGAGTTACTAGTAAAGATGCCGTCGGTTGTAGCGCATAGTGTGCAGACTCACATACTGAGTTACAAATGACAAAAGAATATATAGGCACACCTTTCCTTATCGTTCTGTCTCTGTTGCTTCTCATAGCTATAACTCGTATTTTCCTGCGGTTTCAAGGGCGGAAAGTCGCACTGAGTCGCATCGTCACTTTGGTACACGGTCTTCGAGATCTCATATAATGTCCGTTGAGCTCCGCACAGATTCAAGTAGATAAATAGGAGACACCAGCCGACGCACAAAATCAGCACGCCCGAACCAATAACGACCGCTAAATTCGTGTTAATTTACACTTAAGTTTTTAAAAATTATAGGATTCAGCCACCTATGATCCACCAAGGCGAGGGCCGTTCCTCATCTGCGATGTCCTGAGCTACAAAATACTTCAAAGAATTCATAGTAAAACTTGAAAACATGAAACTCACAGCTATTGTCTAAAGGACATCTAATTACCGTGGAGTTGGGAAAGGCACTTTGCATAGTTTTCTCTCCGTCGATAACCTGACCTATGAGGTTTTTTGTCGTATTATATGGTCCGTCATATAGTAAAATTGCATCACAATGCACATCCCCTCTTTCTCATGCAATTTAGACCTGGACAATTTTCTTAGAATCTGAGTGCTTCGAAATATCAAAAGCTTGCAGGCCTTGTACAATATAACTGAATTGGATACTCTTAATTAGGTTCTTGGTCTAGCAACCTCAAAATTACTGCAACATCTCAAAGGCTTTTTGTACACTCGAGAATTGTACACTCGAGAAATTGATACATGGTAGAGGCCAGTCTAGGACGAAGGCGGGTGCCCATATGATGGGGAACGCATGCGACAGCGTCGCGCTAGCGGTCGTCGGCCTCTAATGCTCGCTTTTCTAAAGGGCCGCACATATTTCACGCAATTTCAGTCGCGACGCAATTTGGCAATACTCCAACTGTCAATAACTCACTGTAAGCCAGTGGCGTACCGAGGGGGGGCGGGGGGGGCGCGCGCCCCCCCCCGAGAACGGGTCGCGAAATTTTTGAAAGTTACTTACATGGGTTATAAAAATGTGCAAGTGACTTGTTTTTACTTGTAAATAATTAAAATAATTTTTAAAATTTTTTAAAAATTCATTTTAGCCTTATAAAAAATTTTTTTCGGGGGCGTGGCTGACGCCACGCCCCCTTTTTCCAGATTATAGAGGTCGGGGACCCGGAAAAATTTTGAGAAGCACCCCAAAAATTTTTTCGGAGTGCGTGGCTAACGCCACGCACCTTCTTTAGAAAAAATTTTTTGTCGCGCCCCCCCCGAGCCGAAATCCTGGGTACGCCACTGCTGTAAGCATATTAAATGTACAGAAGATAGGGCATTTTATCAATTTACGTAAGTTATGCAAACTATGCATGTGCAGTTTGCTAGATTTGGATCTGCAGATTTCTGGCGAAATGCCAAATCGTGTCGCGACTGAGATCCTGTGAAGTATGCCCGGCCCTTAAAGCTTATAAATGCCCGACCGTTCGCATCCGCTTCGACAAACCATACAACTCCGTTCGAAACCTGATTCAAAGTTTCAGAAAAAAACCTACAAGAAATTTTAGAAAATTTCTCACGTCTTCTGCAAGCGGTTTCTCGTTTCTGAGAACGATGAAGCGGATAATCGTTGCATTCCTACGATCAACACGCCTTACAATCTGAAAAGAAAATATTGTGAATTTGAGTTCCTTACTGTAAATCAAAAATTTGGGCTCAAAATTTCTAAGCTTTTTCTTTCTCTATGAGGGCCAAACTCTCATTTGTTGTTAGTAAGCATTCGCATGCAGGCTAGCTTTCCAAGATCTTCTCAATGCATTTCTCATAAGCACATCCTGAACAGCAGCACATTCATCTTTTGGAACACGGATCACTCCGTACGATTGCATTTGTGATAGATATCCGTGCGAGGATGTGTTATTAGACATAAAAACCAAAGTTTTCACGTTTGAAACCAAAATTATGTAGCGCATATTTGTTTCTCGAGAAATTTTTAGAAAACCTGTTTTATCCTGTTGAGACTGGTATGATACTATCAGCTGGTTCTAACATTTGCTTCTTATTCATCTTCATTTGCTCTATTTGTTTCATTTCTCATGGCTCAAAAAATATTAATCAAAGCTTACACGAAAATGACTTTTCAGGTTGGTACAATTTCTAATCTAACTTTTAATTCAATCGGCTTGGCTTCGAGAAGGCGGAGCTCCGTGACCTAATTAAGACCGCTCGCGCCCTTGGTGCACCTGCGTCTCTCTTGCGCGAGTGCTCTCTGATCATTACCTAGCCTCAGGTCACAAAGCCTCCACTAAGCTGGAAACACAGTGAGGCCGTTTTCAAAGATTATAGAGTGTAATTGAAGCGGGAATTTTTGTATTATGAACGCACCAAAAAATGCACAGACGTCTTCTCAATTTCTGAAAACAGACAATTCAGCGTTTTTCTCTTAAATTAAGTTTCTTATCCCCTCATTTTCTCGCATAAAAATGTAAATTTTGAATTTATAGCGAAATGTAAGTATTAAGAAAGATTTTGGACTTATCTCGCAATTTTTTAGGAGAGAAAAGGCTGATGTCTATTTTGTGACAATTCCGCCTTGAACAAAAAAGAGTCATTCTTTCAAAAAAGGGAGCTAAAAAATATCGTTGGAATTTGTAAAAATGGAAATGCTCATAGAAGCTTTGCTCTCACTCCACACCATCTCGTAGTTCGAACGCATAGCGTAATAGATTTTGGTTGTCATTTGGCAATTCGCCAAAACACTAACAAAAGCATTCGTGAGAATTGTCATGCAAAACAGTTGCATCATATTACATTGACCTTTTCACTACTCAGAAACTAATTTTACATACATTCTTCGCGGGAGCTGTATGAATTTGCTTTCATGCTTGCGGCACAGGATGATAAGGTTCTTGGCATTCTTTATTACAATTTGCAAATTTTTATCTGCGAATCCTTGAAAAATGACATTTCTAATGGCGATACTAATTTTGATAAATGGAGTCGCACTCCAGCTTCACAGCTTGACGAGAGCATAGGCAAATGACCAACAGTTATAATACAGCCGCTTGACTGCGAATCCTTTGTTTTTCTTCTTTTTTTTTGAGCAAAAGAGGATTTGGTCTACTTTTCTGATATTTTTCGAAGCTTTCCGTTTTGGGATCTGTTGTAAAAAAACATTCTATGTCCAATGAATTTATGTGCAGCAAAAAACAAAAAATATTTCCAAATCCATTTTAGAAATAGGTTGGCTTTTGCTGCTGCCTTTGAAATTGAACGGTGGAAAGCTTAAAATTTCTAACTTTACCAGAGGATTTTTGGAGGGGTGATCAGCTCTACGCTCCTTTAACTAGAAAACTTCTGTCCAATCCCCCCCCCCCTCCCTCCCCCGCCTTCAAAATAATTTAGTCTGACCACTGCTCGTTTTGTATGTTGTGTACGATTAATATTCTTTTCGGATGAACGATATGATTACAAAAAACAGTTAGCTTACAAGTTGGGTTCATTGTTTAGCCACAAAATAGAGAGAAACACTGTTAATGATCAAATGTTTTTCTGAACGTTTAAAGAAATACTCACAACTGGTCTTCGACTCTGTTGGGCACAGAAATTCATTTTTTGGAGATCATATTAAAGACTGATATTGAGTCATTTCCGAAAAAACTCCACAACTGTACATCCCATCACAAATCGTCTGTCAAGTATTTTTCTATGTGAATTCGTCTCATATTGCTTATCTTGCATAACTTATAAAAGATTGCCAAGGCCTCGAAGAAACCTTGCGGAACAGGAACTGCAAAGGCTGAACAAATCGTCGCAAGCGAAAACGCGGAAAATTAACTTCATTATTCCTTTTTTTGGAAAAATACGTCAAGACGTTAGTTTTTGCTCAAGTCCTCCACGCCATATAGCTTAAATCAAAATGAACATTCTTCTCCTGAGCAGGAAGCATGTACGGACGAGTTCTTCCCTCGTCAGTAAGAAGTTCGTACCGCATCCGCCTGCATCCATTTTCGTTGACATTCATATGCGCTCAAGCATTCACAACGGCGCTAGTCTGGAATCTCTGTTTTGGCCCCTGACTAGCTTGAAAAGCTATGACGTGGTCAAGCATTAGAAAAAATTGGGAATAATTTCTTAGTTTTTCTGTGGGACCTTTAAAAATTTCCAATCTCGGCAGGCAGGACATTTTTTGGCGGGCTAGTCTAACCTGAGCTCTTCTTGGACATTGAAAAAAAGTAAAAAAATTTTGGCAACATCAAAGAAGAGCACGAATTATTCAGAATTGTATGTACTAGGAGATCATCAAAAAACCTTTCTTACCACCATTGAATAGAATTTTTTGCTCATGTTTAAAAGGCAGTTCCTAAATCCAAAGAGATTTATTTTTTACCGCAACAGGAATACGTAGTTTGGTCTAGTACAATGCACCGCCCACTAGCCCAAACCTCTTTTCATGATCTCTAGCCAAAAAAGTAACTTTGTATCCCATTAAGGTGTCTTTTTTTCTTATCAAGTACTTCTATAAGAAGAGCTTTACGATCGATACAAGTTTTCTATGAGGTGGCCAATCCTGTAACAATAGGGAATGTAGGTTAAAAAAAACACAGCAGCTCACACTTGAATGAACAAATTGTTTTTTTTCTACAGCTTGCAAACGCCGAGTATCCGAGTGCCTTTGCTTCAGCTTCAGCAAAGAGCTCGAAGAATCCGACTTTTTCTTGTGCCTTTCTTTCTTATGCATTGACTTTTTATAGGTTTTTTCAGGCATCGTGATAAATATAGATCCGTGCCATGTTTGGGGGCTCATATTTGAATAGCACTGGAAATGAAGAGAATCTATCAATCAAGCTAACAAAATAATTACTCAGAATTTTCTTTTATATTTAGAGGTGGACCGAGGGAGGGAAATGCGACGAGCGATTATCGATTATTTACTAGAGCTACCAAAATTGTGCAAATGACTTGCCTTTACTAGTGAATGAATTCAAAAATTCATAAAATTTCAAGAAAATTTCAATTAGCTTTCAAAAAAGTTCTAGGCTGCTCCACGCCCCATTTTTCATACACTTCGGGGTTATGAGTGCACTTCATCACCGAAAACTTGGAGAGCATTTCAAAAGTCTTTTTTACTTTTTTTACTGAGGCGTTACGTCACTCCAAATCATTTGAACCCCCCCCCCCCTCCCCTTCGAACTCAATTCCTCTGAACCCCACGCTTTTGACTTATAGAGCAAATTCATCTCTTTGCACACACTTTCCAAGCAGATTAGATATCCCGATAATTTTCCTCACTACACATAATCAGCCGGGAAACCAGGAGCCCAATGTCTGTTATTGTTTGAGCTATTTTCCATCAAGCTGCGAAAAACTCCCCTGGTGTCTCTTCATTTTCCATTTCCTCGTCTAAATGGGCAAGTGACACCATGGCCTCGTCATTGACTTGCACTTTTTTGTCCTTTGAAGCTCACACAAGCATGGGAGGCGAATTTTTTTGGGGTGAATGGTTGAATTGCACAAAAATTCAAGGGTTACAAAAATCTATTAGCTGTCTGTGAGAAGCACACTCCAGGGGGCAGGTAGAAAGCTTGATCATTCAAGGTCCAGAAAGCTGCAAGAAATTGAAAGCGAGGGGCGGGGGGGGGGGGGGGTTATAGGACCCTTATAGTACTCTTTCTCTCAGGGTGAGTAGCTAGTAGTGTCAGTGTGAGTAGTGAGTAGCTCTTGCTCATTGCCAAAATGTCATTAGCGCCATTCGGAGAATCGTGAGTGATTCCGTGTATCAATATGAAGTCGATTAGAATCCTAACAACTCTAGACACCCCCCCCCCCCCTCTCGAAATTGCGACTTCATAAGTGTAAAAACGACTTTTAGGCAGAAGAAGTTCCAGTCTGAAATGACATTCTGGTCATTTTATAGAATAAATAAGAGAGTGCAGAGGGAAGGATATCCTCTCCCTCACCCCCGGGGTGTCCCTCTCTCGTTCTCTCTCGGCTCGCCACACTCCCGTTCGTACATCGATTTTGGAAGTAGGCTGAGTCTCGCCCGAATATACAAACTCTCGTCCCAGCTAGAAGCCGCAATTGAGTCACCTTACGTTACGGACTCCTTCAGATTCTCTACAAATAACGTTTATGTTTTTCTGTTAGTTTAAAGGACGCAGTCAAAGGGCAGCGCTGCCTTCAAATTCTGCACATTCTTGGAGCGCGTAGGAGAGCTCTAATCTACGTCATGGCGAAAGTTCGTTCGGCGTTCGTGCTTTTGAATCGCCCAAAAGTCTCCATTGTCATTGGGATTTGCTAGTGCAAGTGGTCTCACCTCTACTCTAGCATTGCTGCTGGCTCCAGAATTTTCCAGTTCTCTCTTATTCTGGCTGGTGAGCAGTTCATTGACAATTGCAGAAATTTTCCTCGCAACTTCCGCATCGCTCTCGGCGGCTGTCCGAATGGATCCCTCTAAAACCCACTTCTTCAGAACTTCCCCCAGCCCTTATTCCCCTCTTAAACTCACCTATTTCGATGCAGTACTGCAGCGGGTGTAACGTGGAATTCGTGCTTATTTCAGCTCCTGCAAAAATGAATTAGTAATAAGTGTGTGTAAAGCTGACAATAGCAATAGATCAATGCGTTACGAAGCTGCTCGGCTCCAGAGCCGCCACACTTCAATACATCATTCTCTTTAAGTGTGTGTCCATATAGAGAGAGAGAATGTGTATATGTTCTCTCTATCGTACTACTACTCGTTAGGCTTCTTTAACTGTTTTTCAGTCTGCACAGAGATGCTCTCTGCATATATGGAAAATGCTGTTTACTCGGACAACACGCAATCGAGACTACTCTCACTCTAGGATATATGGCAAAATATGCTTTAGAATAGATCTCATTCGTATATTTAGACTTCGTATACTCGCTTTCTTCTTACAAACTTTCAAAAACTTCTCCTATTCATCGCCAAGTCATTCGTAGCTTGGTATGCGTGTTGCACACCATGCGAGCTACTTGACGACATTTGGCATAAGAATTTGCTCATTTACAATGATTTCTTCCTGTTTTCTTGTCTTTTTGGTTTCACTTTTTATGTAAAAGATATACTACATACATCTACAGCTTATTACGCTAGAAAAGGTCATGCTGGGAGTTTATTAGTGAGAACATCGTCGACTGCCGCGCATAGTGTGCATGCTCGCTTATTATCACGACTCGACGATACATTCAAGGAAAAAAAATTCCATAATCATTTCCTACATGAAGTTTGAACGATTTTAGCTGGTCAAATGCCCTTTTTTACCTCTGAGAGACTCTCACCCCTATCAATCCAAAAAATTACTTTTCAGCACTGCTACTTATATCTTAAAGGATGTGGTAATGAGTGGGCCTTCAGAAAATACGTGGGAACTTGGATTTCTGTTTTCAACCTTTTCGTCAAATGCTATACTCATCAGCCCTTTCTTTCAAATTCACTGTTACTTCACAAAACTCAAAAAGGGATGTATAAACTTCATCAAATTTTGACTTGAAATTTCTTTTTGCAGCTAAGAAGGATAGAGGAGTTCTATACACATTCATTTAAAATTCTGCCATACAATCTAGGAAGTAAACGCATTTGCGTACCTATATCACTGAAAGTGATACCATAATTTTTTATGCAATTCATAATCAAAATTTTTATCGTATTTCTTTAAATCTGAAAAGAACCTGCAGAATTCTTCACTCATTCCTCTGTGATGCAAAATTCATTTTGTTTGCTTAAATGTACATGAGAATTGTAGCAGCCCTCCTCTCCTTGGCTTCTTGCCATAGTTCACAATGAAGAATTGCACAGGACTTTTTAGCATACTGTAATGTGATTGTATCTGCATTACTTTAATAGCTGAGTATTCCGCAGCTTGTCAAACGTTTTTATTTTTGCGTTTTTTTCTTTGCGTAAAAATTAAGCTGTCAAGGATAGTCGAAGGACGTAAGCCAATGGCTGACGTAATCTGTTTATTCGAAAAAATTTCCTGGTTAAGCACGATGTAAGAGCAACTGAAGGGCGTCATGAGGAAATAATTACAAAGAAAGTTTTTACATCGCTAGCATGAAAAGCTTGAGCTCTGACATCATCGAGAAGCTGTGTAAAAAACATCATTAATAATTTGCTCACGCAGGATTGTTAAAAATAGCCGCATTCAATGAAGTGCAGGTTTGTAGATTTTCCTGCTCTAAAATTTGAGAATTATCCTTTAGTTTAGATTCTTCCTAACAAATTCAAAGCTCTTTCGCTGATTTTATTTTGATCATTCCTTCTTGAACAATGCAAGCACAACCATTAGGACTTGCTTAGACAAGATCCATCTAGATTAGTGCTGTTGAATTTTACATCTCTCTATATCCCCTATACATCATGTAGTCTGGAAAACCTCACGGAAAATCTTTTCTGCTTCCATAGAACGTCTTTCCTACACCTATTCTCCATGCCAACAACATTGGTTAAAATCCAGAGTTGTAGCAATTCTACCTGAGAACTTTTCACCACATTTATATTAATATTTCTACTCGTAACTTCCACTGAGTTTTACATAAGGAAATGGACCACACCTACTGACTTGTGCCAAAATTTATTCACACAAAATCTGGTTGATACATGTGACGTTTCTTCCTGATAATTTTTTGTTGCTAAAAACATTGGACGAAAAAGCTACGGAATCGAAGGATAGCCAAGAAATAATTTAAGCACAAGCACCAAAATATTATCAATGTGGGGCAAAATATGAAATGATCAAAAAAGTGACTCCGGATTTCAATCGTGGCTTTTCTAATCAAAATGCCTCTTCTTTTCTCAGTTTGAACACCTATTACACTCATCGGTTCCCTAAATTTTAGAATTTCCATGAAGGGCATTTTTTTCCAAAGAAGTAAAGAATGAGGGGAGCACTTTTTTTACAATGATCTAGCAATCACCAAAGATCGATCTGAACAATTTGCAAAATGAACAAAAAGTGTAGAAGAGCCGGGCTTTATGAGTTTCTACTTATCTACGATTTGGAATTTGTCCAAGACCTATCAGTCACTCATTGCTGCCCTTGCTTAAATTTGGTTTGAAAAACCCCGGAACGTAAACGAGTCAATAAAAACCTTTCTTTCACCATGTTATCCAATTGCTACAGTTTCACAGCGTTTGATCAAATGTCGTTATACGTAATGCCATTAGCAACCTAAGATAATTCGATGCTATACAACCATTAATCGTATTGACAGGGCAATCCGTTCGAGCATTATAAGAACTACATGTGTCTAGCTGGAGTGGAAAGCTTTCCTAGAAGGTTAAGAGTTAGAGAGGTATAGGAGAGGGGGGGGGAGGATAAATGAAGTTAGCTGGTGCCTGGGAAATGATGCTAATAAGGATGGGTAGATATATGACCTGTGGGGCAGAGAGGGGTTAGGTAAGAGGCTAGTGGCTTTGAGTAAGCGTAAACAAAATGCAATGAGAGTGAGGACATACCTTGTTGGCCGTGTGCCAAGGGCAATAGGACGAGTAAGTAAAAGAGATCCGTGTCCATGTACCAGTGCTGGAGATGAAGATCGGTGTCGACGTCGTCGCGACGGCGGTTCTTCTCTCTCGGCCAACGTTGCCATGGTGCCGGCACCGCACGCCTTCAATCCCGACTTTTCGCCGTCGAATCTTCGTCTGCTCCAGAGCGCGAATCGATACCCGGCCTATGCGTTCGTCGTCGTCGCCGTCGTCGTCGTCGTCGTCGTCGTCTACAGCAGCCAGCGGCTCGTATCGCACATAAACCAAATCGCTTCGCTCTTTCCCACACACTCCACACCACTACTCTCTCCTTCCTCATGTTTATTTGCCACTGCTAAGCATTGCATCTTCAGCCCCCTCTCAACGAGCTATGCACTTGGACACACTTGAACGAAACACTCCTACTTTTCTAAGCGCGATGCATTTCAACAACTGTCTGCGATAGGATGTGCTTACTTCTTTTTGGCGCTAAAATATTCGTTATTTTCGATATCACCTCTCCCACGATGTTTTTTTGTAACTTACACTACCTATTCCTCGCACGAATGAGCAGCAGCACTCACAAGGCAAGTGCGATTAACTGAAGAATGCCAAAATCGCAGAGCAGCGCGATCTGTATCGCGCAAAAACATGTTGAGAGCATAACATTTGCAATGCTCTCCTCGTCGTCTCCACTTGTTGCGACCCATTATAGCTTTTCTGTAATTGAGACTAAGCTGAAGCGATTTCGCTCCCTACCCCACCACACAAAACACGTCAACTTCCTGCAAAATGTTCTTGCTTTTTGAAAATTCGTGGTAATTAGGAGACTCGTTGAGAAAATCGATCCCCTACCACACTCTCTGCGCACTTGCCTCGATGTGCTATGCGAAACAGCTCGCTCGGGTCTTCTCCCACCACGAAACTCTGCATTAATTCAGCTTTCCATATTTTTTTCGTTTTGTGTTGATTATAATTATTTTTCGTTTGAGAGAATAATTTCTCTGAAGTTAGTTTATTGTTCATCTCTTTTTCTAATTTACAATTCACATAATTTTTTTGCCATGATATTACCATATTCTGCAATACCATCTAGCCTCGCTCTTAAGTTTCTCAGAACTCCTAATAATGTTACCATACGTCATTCATAGTATTTTAGAGTTCCAAAGTTTCATTGGCATCCTTTGCATAGTCTAACAGGCATTGATAGGGTTTTGATAGAAAAACACATATGATGCTTTCTCCTACTATTATTGCTATATTTGCCTTGATTTTGGCTGAACTATACCTTATCATTTCGCACTCTTCAACCCCATCATATTTGCTCAATTTTTCTGCCAAAGCTCCAGAAACTTTGCCACCCAAGGCGGTTGCCGAATACTTGTTCAAAAGCCGAGTCTCAACGTCTTTTGCACGTTTTGCGTTCGAGCTAAGAAAGCATGCCAAGTCTATTCATCATCTCTTTCAATCGTTTTTTCGTTGTTACGTTGAACATGGCTCGGCGTTTCTCCAGCAGCACCATGTTAGCAATTCCCTTCCACTTGGGACTATAATGTATTTTTTGCTAATTCCTTTGTTAAATGCTAGTGGCATTTTGATTTCTATTGCTAGACAGTATTCTGTTCCCGATTAAATTTGTTGCAGTCAGTTTATTTCCCGGTCTGAAATGATGAATTGAGCTTGTTGCGTCAGTACAAATCGTTTGCCAAGTACTCGAATGCAGAGTAAAGAGAGAGGGACGGGGCGCACGGGTTCGGGTTTTAGGGCGGGGGGGGCAGAGTGAGTACTCGCCAAATCGCTCGGTATCTTGTTGCGAATTCGTTTACGAGATGTGACGGGTGAGAAGACGTATGCTCTAAAATTGCCTCAATCAATCCTTAGCTATGCTTACTAGCACTGAAGCCCTTCATCCCCGAGCTTTTCCATCAAATTCGCCTCACATTCATCACACCTACTTTCATGTCTTTTTCATTCAATTAAAGGAAAAAAGTGACGGGACCCACTATCCTAACATCTTCTCTATGTGCGTAGAACACATGCACTAACTGCTGTTATCAATCCCACTACTTTTTCTAGACTCGTGTCTCGCACTAAAGGTTAATATCTTCGAATATGAAATGGGAATCAAATGGTGAAGCTGACGTCTGATAACAACGGCTGCTGTTTTGAGATTAACCAGAGGTCTCGTAAATCTCGTAAAACCGCACAAATAGATTAGTTAAATAGACTAGTATAGCTGGACATTGTATTATCACTTATCCGCTAACGACGGTAGTTGTTCCATATAAGCCATATAATGGGATAAATTGAGTAGAATAATGATTCTGGGACTCTCTAGTAACGCTGTGATTTTTTTGTTCTGATTCCATGTCCTTTATAGCAACATTTAACATTTCCCATGCTAAGAAAAGCTATTTACAAAGATCTACAGCTACATTTTAGCAGCTATAGAATTTCAATTCCCACACAAAAAGGAGTGACTACATAGTGGAAATAACATGCTGCGTCAGGCTATTGTAAAACATAGCAAGGCTTTGTTGGGCAAATCAAAGCTCAAAAAATTTTAGAATGACTACAACAAAAATAACTGCAATAGAAAATTGCTCATTATTATAGCGTGAAATATCAAGGAGATTGACCAAAAACACATCCAAATGCTTAAGTCGACGAAAGATCATTCGCTAGATCTCAAACAATGTTATTGTCAAGTTCAAAATTTTTAAAATACTTAAGATTTCCACACCAATCTTTTCAATTTGCTCATCACATTGTGTATCAGTTACCAAAAAGTGGAGCAGTCATTTATTTCTGAATATTTTCTTGCAGCGGTAAATAAAAGCACGTTTCATGAGAAATTTGTGAATCTTTTCCTGGTTGAGTCATCAATTGCAGCAATTGAATTTTTGCTGTATTACTGAACTGACGCGCGTTTTCTGACGATAAGTTTGGCTCGTATTAAAAGTACATATGTATTAGATACCCTAAAAGTTCCTGGGAATTTACTTTGTAGGTTCCCTTTCTGAACTTTTTTCGAAATCAGCTGTAGATCGCACTTGGCGTCAAATCCCAGTGGTGCCTAGCATCGAGTGACGAATTTTATGCAGCGCGAGTTTCTAAAGCACCCCAGGAGAGCCAAGAGCTCGGAAACAATTGTCTAGCTAATTAATAAGAATAGAGTGAGTCTGAGTGGAAAATAGATTTTCTCCTTGGTAACTCAAGCGGCATAATCGAGGCTAGGACACGTGCCTTGTGAACCTCTTCGGGATGTGTTAGCTTCCAAGCGGAATGCTTGCAATGTACTTAGCATGCGCGTTTCTCTCTCGGATATGCTTTGTCTTGAGAGCGATATGTAGACAACGGAAAATTAATTTGAATTCTAGAAAGCTCATACATCAAGAAAAGTAATCGCTATGCAGACGAGTAAATCATTCGATGAAGAAGTCTGTAGATGAAAAAGATTGAATTCTTTATATGTTGTGTAAGGGCAGCGCTTATTGAATTTGCCAGGCTATCAGGTTATTTCGTGTCACTTGGGATTTATTCGATCTGTTTTATTATCGCGAAACATTTTACGTTGAATATGAGCGATATTTTTCTATTGTGTTGAAAGCTTGGTTGCTGAGAAGGATGTTTTGGCAATGCCTATGACATAATAATATACTGGTATGCTGTAGACTGTATATTGATTTTTTTTACTGTAGATGTTGAAGGGTTTTTTCCTAGTATAAGTTCTTAACTCACATAGCTATGAAAGTGCTTTTCTAAGTGCTTTTCTTTTCTCTAAATACAGCTCTTTAAACTTTTTCAAATTTCTTCACAATTAGCCCCAAAACCTTGCGTTTCTGACTATACTATTAATGTACTATTTATGATTTCGACTTCAGAGGTTGACGATTAATTCCGGAAACACACTTCCATAATTAATTCTCACAAGGTTAGTTACAAAACTATGCAAGTTGTTCTCGTTTGCACTAATACATTTCTCGTAGTGCCTTTGACCTCAGCACGCCAAGTCAGAGTCAGTAATATTCTATGATATTCTAGCTTTAAGCTGTCTGGACTTACGCCTTTTCATCGGAAATTGGCTATCTCAGTTTTTCTGAGAAAGTAATGTTAGAATATCTCATCATGAAGTCGTGGAAGGTGTCTATTGTGCCTATTCACTGCTCTTCCCAGTCCTTTTTTCTGATTGCTGAGTCGTCTGGACTGAACCTTCTTATAGTGTGCAAGTAGGGGCTGGGATTAGGAAGATCAATGACTCTTGCCGTGCTTTCTGCGCCCTTTCGAATTCAGCTTCTCAGCCGGGCGAGTATCCCGAATCCATCATGTCTTGTTGACGTGTGTCCGTCGTCGCACGCGCAGTCTCCGAATAATTCATGTTTACGAATGATATGGGAATGGTCAAGCGGTCGAGACGAATTCATGATTAATCTTCACTTGTGTATGCTCTCGATCTCAAAGAGGGGGGGGGGGGAGGAGGAAGGGGGTAACTGTTGTGCCGTACCTCTGACTGCAGCACGCTCTCTTCTGGCCCCGATCGGGAACGGCTCGGTCTCGGCCCGGACAGTTGTTGCTGTTCACCAGCCAGCCAACACACACATTCAAAATGTGTCGTCGCCATCCACCTTTACTTCTTCTGCCCAGACTCTTTTTGTTTTCCTTCTTCGCGAACGCCTCTCCTCCTCCCATATAGAGGCAATTTTATGAGCCAGTCGTGAATCAAATTGCACAAATTGATATCTCATCGATTCGTCTCCGGCTCTCGAGCTTGTAAACATCACTCGCGATTTGCTTCGTTGGCTTACTTTATTACATGCACAAGTCGCATAGTGAGTCGCTTGTAGTAAACCACACACATCCTCTCATACATTAAGCTCTCTCTAGCAAACAATGGAACAGCTGGAAGGGGGTGGGCTCGTTTCTTGTATAGTTGCGACGCTAAGGTTCTGCCAGCTGCACTCAAAATATTGAGCATATGCAGTCATTTTTTTACTGTTTTTTTCATTATTTTGTTGCTTTATTTCTATACAAATTGAGTAGAAATACATTCTTGACTGCTACTTTGATACTCTCGATAATTTACATATTCTAATGTAAATCCAATGAGACAACCATGAGCTTCCCTGGTGTTTTAGATAAAAAGTGGGATGGACAAGGTATCACTAACTTTGACCTGACTTTTGTATTTTTCGAGGCATCATAAGTGTAATGAAGAATAAATAAATAAATTTTGGAAATATTCAGAATTACCCGATATAGATATTATTGAACATTCTTTCACCAAGTCTCCTAATACAATTTTGTAGAATCTTCACCATTTGTCCCCTCATTTTTTTTACTGATTATTTTCGGTACTCCTTTTTTTGAGAACATGCCTGAGCGAAAATTTTTGGCACACATATTTTCAGTGCTTCGGATTATCGTGTACCTCTACTTCTTGAATTGTGTAAATACACTATCATCACTTTTTTATTTTTTTACTATATGTTTTTTACCAATCTGACAAGTTTTTTTACTATCTGCTCGAACTGCTTCCACAATAGCTACAACATTTACTAGTTTGCTCATAGCCTCTTTCTTCCTATATAGCATGCGCACTTAAGACATTTCCAGAAGCTTGCATCTGTTTTTTTTCTTCACCAACCCAAAAAAGAACATTCAAGCGCCCCCCAAATGTTTCTTGAGTGCTTTCCGGAAATGATGTGGATGTGTGCCTAGAGCGAAGAGTGAGGGAGGGGGCAATGGCCCGGCCATCACTTTACCTACTCGTTGGTGCGAAACTCTTTCGAGTAGCAAGTAATTAGATGAGATAGGGCTCGAAGACCCGCCAAGACTGTGAAGTCGTAAAGTCCCACGTCTCTCATTAACCTCGACTCGGATCGATATCCCTCACTCTCACAGCCAGCCGGAGCTGCTCACCTTCGATTAGCCGAGCTCTCCGTGCGCGACACTCTCTCTGGACATACACACCCCCCATTCGCACTTCGTCCAAGCACAAGTGAATCCCAAGCAGCGAAGTGAAAAAAGTAATAATAAAGTAATTTTGAAGGATTGTTTGCAGGGAAAAGTGAGTAGAATGTAATTTGTTTATCACAAGCTTAGCCATGTCCGGCGCTGTATCGTACACAAGCAATCAAATAAATTCAAAGTCAAAGATAATTGAGATAGACGCTGTTCCAGCTACCACACAACATTTTTGAACAGCCAATTATAGAAGCTTAATTTGCGCATAACTACGAAGCTGAATCGTGGAGGGACCACAACCAACATCTGAACCTTTTATAAGCTTTTTCGCGAAACAAAAAATGGAGAAATTTGCTCTCTTGCTATCTAAGAATTTCTCCTCATTTTTCCATAGTTTACAATGCTTCACCTCAACAGATCGCACAGAATGTTAAAAACAAACATAATAGTCCGATTTTCAAATATTGAGACTGATATTGTCATTGCTACTTTCGTACATTTGTTAAATGAGAAAGCAAGGAGGGAATAGAAGGAATGTATCTAGAAGAGAACGAGTGAAGTGTTTGTCAAATTTACTGACCAGAGAATAATTTTTGCTCGAGTGACTTGCCCAGCTCAAACGTTTTTCTTTATAAGTTTCTCGGAATGTTCGGAATTCAAATTGTTGAATTACTGAAGCAATTGAAAAAATCCGCGCACCGGAAAATTGTGACTATTTTTGAATGGACTATCTTGAATAGCTTAAATTGTTAAATGGTGCAGATTTTATTATATGTCAAAAACGACTCAGTGCTCAACAATTGGTTTCTCTTGAATTTTTTCATACAGGTAATCAATTTGAATATTAGCGTATAACGTAATTTGAATTCTCAACTAAATAGCTGGTACCGTAATCGGCTAGAGCACTGAGGCACACCTCAGCGAGGGCTTCCTTCGCCTTCCGAGTGTCGTTTCGCACAAAATATATGATTCCTTCTAGGACATCCTCGACAATTAAACAAACAATCATTGAAAGAGGTAGCCAAAAAATCATTCCTCGAATTTTTCCCCAATTTTTTTTCTACGACTTATATTCCGCGCGATGCACTATTTCCATTAGTCCGATGTTTTTCGTTTAAAAGTATCTTCGAACCTTGGTTTGTAGCCGTCATTTTTTATTCTGCCATTTCAATATCATGATTTTTCGATTATGCTGATATCTGCTGTATACCAGCCAGTTAGCTTTTTTTGAGAATTCACTATCACTTTTGACTATACAGCCAACAATCAACTATCAAATCTGCAAAATCTCAATTTTCCAATTTTTTGCAAGGTTCGATATAGATACACGCTTGCAGTTGTTTGTACTATGATTTCGTTTAGACCATATGCTTTCAGGCTCTTAGTTTTACTGCTAAGCCGGAGAAAAAGTCTGTGAAAACTCGGCTTTTTTAGAACAAGAAAAATCTTGGAGCGATAAGAACTGAGTTCTATTGCGAAACAAAACTTTTTTCATCCTTTTTGTGAAAAGCAAAAAAAGCGGTCAAAATTCAATATCAAAAAGTGATTAAAAAAATAATGATCAAAAAGACAGGAGCATGGATTTTATTTGAAAATTTTTTTTCTATTGTATTGCCATTTCGACCAAGAATTCGAAAATATGGGTTTTTTTACCTTCGAGTGTTTAGTGCAAACAATACGGTGCCATACTTCTCGATGTTTTTATATTTAGACATAGTTTTGAAGGCATAATATACATTTATCTATAAATCAAAGTTATCTCTCTCAAAGCTATTAAGTTCAAGAAACCACCGAAGATATGAATTTTTGCTGCCTTTTTGTTTTTCCATATTTTTTTAAAATCAATAACCATGATCGTTGGGAGCATCAATGATTCATTTAATGTATGAATAATATTTTTTCACAAACTTCGAAGTATTGCATTCTTTAGAAATGAACTACATCCTTCTGATTCTTAACTAAAGCGTTCACTGTATCCTTGACAGATTTACACGCGTATGTTACAGCATGTATTTGCTCGGAACGAACGAGTTATCTCGATTGCCTCAGCCATGCTGTTGGTGTCCGACTATCTGGCAACCGCTGTGTAATGCTTTTTGAAACGAAAAAACAGTACTGTTTCAATTGATTTTCCTCCAAAGTGTTGGTGTTCCAAGTAGCTCTTCGCAGCAGCTCCTCTCTCTATTGTTTATGTCTTTCCACTGCTGCTGCACTTTTCACCCTTGTCAGCTTTCATTACGATTTTACTCAATCTGTCCAGACTCTTTTGTATTGTTCATGTACTTTCGCAGAATTTCATGGCACTCAAGCTTTCAATCTCTCATACAAGTGAAGAGAATTGCTTTGGCTTTGCATTCAGTAGAGCAGAAGCAAGTAGGGCCCTTGGCTTCACTGCTCTGACACTTAGCAGCTTCTTCCGTAGTAGTTTCGCTAGAGTAATTTTGGACGAGTTGTAAGTAGCGTAATTGATAGCACGGCAAGTAGACAATTAGATGCGAAATGAAAAATTTATGAGGTGAATCTGCTGACTATTTTCTGTGACTTAGAAGCATGAACGTCCCAAGCGAAGAATATGTTGTGGTAAGTATATATATTTCTAGAATGCGAAAAACTTTTGACTTGACTAGTGAACCAGTAATCTAAAGCTGCTAGATTTGCAGGAGCGTTCGTTGCGGGAGCCGCGGGGTTTCACGCAATTTCACCTTTTGAATAGGAACGATTCTTTTTATATAGAAGATATGGCACACGTCATACTTGATCCACTTCATTCACTTCGCTATTGGTCAAATCAGTAAAGTGACCAATGACGAGGTGGATCATGTCGACATCCCTTTGCTATTGGTTAGTTTACTGATTTGACCAATGGCGAAGTGGATGAGGTTTATCAAGTGCATCAAGTATGGCGTGTGCTTGTCATTCAGCCTAAGCTCATCTGCTACCGACTAATAGTGGGTAACTTAACTTCTATGAGTATGTACTTATATTTCACTAAACCCTTAATGTCATACTGTGTCGTGCTAGCGAAGCAATCCGAGAAACTTGCTATCCCATTACAACATCTCAAATTTGGCCAATAAACTGTCATACTAATGAGAGAGATGTAACGCTGTAGCGGCGAGCAATGCGATGCTTCTATGCAAGTAGAGATTTGATCTCATGATTTCTCTCAAACTGCAATATTCTGAATGCGGAAAATTGATGAAGAACTACGTCTGAACTGTGCAGCAACACAAATCCCCGCGTATGCAGCAATGGCTACGAACTTCAATTCTATGCCGATGCCACTTTCGAAACAAATTATACGCAATATGGTAGGTTCTATACACACTATCCATCCGAATGCAGTACACTGAGTCTCTGTTGTTGTTCTCTAAACTCTTTGGAAAGGAGTCAAATGTCTTGATCCTCGCCATGCGTCAACTGTGATATTTTCATGCAAGGACAAGTTCCTGCCTATTTTTCTTTATTCTGCACCGAATGTGACATAACTCGGTGCAGCTGCACTACTCCTTGAGCTTTTTTTTTCAAACTGAAGCCATCCTTCCATTCCTTCTTGCCGTATTATGTATAACGTTTCAAAAAATAATTTGCACTTTTTGCTAGATTTTTATCGAGCTGTTTCTCGCATTTTACCTCGAACTTGAACCAAATTCTGAGAAGAGGGAGTACTGTAGCCATTTATTACCGCGCAAAATTACGTATAGCCGTTTTTGATTGATTAAAAAAATTTAGAATAAGATGTATATAGAGGCAAAACATTCTATATGTGACAGAACCCTAGCTCTCCATGGAAGTTTCATCTAGCAAGTACATCCCGGATAATCAGAGTACTAATCCTTCTGAGCTGTCACAACTTCCTGTGTAGCAGATCACGACAAGAACTATTTGAGGGAGTAATGCTTATATTTATTGATCTCTATGGGAGCACCTGTATGTACTCCCATACAAAGTACAGTATATCTTTCTAATTAAAATTGGTGCTTGATGCTTAATATGATTAGAAGGGTAGAAAGTTCCTTGTACTCTCCACAAAGGAGGTGTGGAGATATTGAATTGAAAAGGGTGTACGAAGTAACGTAGTACTCTTACAATTTCATTCATAACGTAATGGTATGTCCTTAAGCTGTTAGGGCATGGAATTGAAGATACTAGGCTTTTGCTTCTGCTTCATGCAAAATTCGCAGTTTTTGTCAAAAATCGGGGTTCTTCTTCGAGCGCATACTCGCGACATGCCATCGAGAGTTAGTGAGAATAATTCCAGCAAGTAAACCTAGCATCGAATGGCTAGCGGAATGTGGCGAAAATCTCATTTCCCCTGTTCTCACTTTGAAAGGGTGATCTCAAATTGAATTGAGTGCAGTCTCTTGAAGGCGCTGAGAATCTCGATGATGGTGCCGTGCCTCCTATAACTAACAATGTTAGTAGAGCGTCGACGCGCTCTTCTCAATTATGCAGCCAAACCGTGCCCCCCGACATGCTACCCCTTCTCATCCCCCCCCCCCGGCCAGGCTCTCCTTCAACCTATCTTCGTCTCGACTGGCTCCGAAAAGTGTCGGAATTGTCGCGCGCGCGCGTTCGGCCCGCTCGCCACTAGACCGATGAAAATGTGCTTGATTGCGGTCGTGAGCTTGCGCTTTGCCTAGTTAGCGTCTCTTATCGCCCCGATTCACTGCGCGAGTTACGAGACTTGAGAAAGCATTTACATTCTACTATCACTTGCTGCCTTTTGTTTCGTATACCTCAAATTTTCTTAGTAGAGTGAAGATTACGTTTTCCTGTACTTTTTAAGTGAAAAACCAAGGGCAAACTCATCATTTCAAACCGCGCAGAGTTTTTTTTTTGAATTCCATCTGTGCATGAGGTTGCATTCGTATATGTACATAACCTCAAATTCAGGTCATATTTCGCGAATTCGCCATTTTTCTCGTCATGCTGGCATTGCAAGTAGTTGTCATTTATCGAATCTTCAATGGAATCTTTTTTTTACAAATTGACTGCCTCATCATCATTCCCCCCTCCCTCCCCTCTCTTTTTTTTACTGCTCCAAATAGCAAGCCTTGCTGAAATGCATACGGCAAGAAGTCCCGAAATAAGCTTAGGTTCTTGCCTTCCGGCCACTTACTTGCGCAGGATGTAGAGTTAGCCCTGCGGTTGACGACCGACTCTGACACTGATCTTCGGTTCCTACATAACCAAGCCATCATTATGTTCTCTAAGCTTTTCTAGGAGCAAGCAAGATTCATCGTTTGTACATTTCATCTACAAGTAAAAGAAAACTTTGGCTTCTTGCCAAACCAATCTGTTCTTTGTGAGTAATTCCACGCTTTGCTCTTGTTGAAGTTTCTTTTTTTTTAAACAGTTCCAACTTTCTCATCTGCCGTCATGTACCGTCCTTGATGAAAGTTTTTTCCATATCTAGACGAACTCCTCGTTCTCTTTATGTTTTATCTATGTATCCCTGCTAATCCGATTTTCAGCATTCGAATCTCAAGAAATGCGAGCGACTGAATCACGTATCTCGCTATCCTGTGCATCCATCGAGTGCTGCTCCGCACGGTACTAAATTTTCAAAGACATACCTCAATAAGGAGAGGAAGGTTAGTGACAAGATTTTATCTGAATAATAGTGAGCAGTTCAAAAAATTTAGTTTTATACATGTTTTTCGGCGATTCATGAATCTGGCGTAGTCGCTGGTGGTACCAAATTGTGACGCAAGGAAAATTCAACAGCTTTCTAATTTTGATAGTAGTAACCATATTCCTGTTGCTTGATTTTGAACTCGTCTCACTCCCGATTAATTTGTTGTTGGAAAAATTTTAATTAACAGAATTGCAACCAGTCCCAGACACTTCTATGAAATAGGATAACAGCCATAAGAAAGTGACAGCTGTTCTGTTCTCTCTTTTTTCTGGTCTTGTAAAAGAATCCCTAGCCGAATAGTGAAGTAATTTCCTCTGCTAGAAGAGGTTTTCTTCTGGAAAGGGTGTAAACAGGAGAGCGAGGTCATCGCTAACAAATGCTGAGGCTCTCGCATACATGCCGAGGCTTGAAATTAGCGTGATCACCCTAGAGCAGCGATTTTGCGGCCCGAAAACTTGCTCGACTCGCGCTCTTAAAGAGACTAGCTAGCTTTAGTCTATTGAAGATAGTTCTATCCTATATTCAATGTGAAATTTTTATAAATCGAATTATTTCAGTTTTTGTCAGCTGGGATGCTGCTGTACTACTTGGCAGCTATATTCAAAGGTCTTCATCCACGGGTTGACGACGATTTCGTTGACAAACTCAACTACCATTACACATCAGCCATAATTTTCGCCTTTGCGATTATTGTCTCTGCAAAACAGTATGTTGGTAAGCATTAGATAATTTTTGGAATTTTTCTCAGAATTTTTCTCACATATACCCATTTTAGGTTATCCTATCCAATGTTGGGTACCGGCGCAATTCACTGATGCCTGGGAGCAATATACAGAGAATTACTGTTGGGTCGAGAACACTTATTATCTGCCTCTTACTAGCGCTTTTCCTCTCGAATATGGAGATCGAAGGTCTGTAAATTTGTACCACAAAAGTTCCATAAGAACCATGATCTCATTTTTTAGGGCACGCCAAATCAGCTATTATCAATGGGTCCCGTTTGTTTTAGCTTTAGAGGCGCTTTGCTTCTATATTCCGTGCATTATGTGGCGCGGATTATTGCACTGGCACTCAGGTTTGTTACTTGTGACAAGAAAAAAATGAAATTTCTTTGCTCTTAACTTGCACCACCGTTTTTTTACGGAAAAAATGATTATTGGGGCTAATTAGAATAATTACAAAAAATCTTCGAACCGTTGGGAGAAGTTAGACGAAAAAGTGGAAGCAAGCTCATTTTGCAATGATGAACCTCCATACGCTACAATAAGGGAAAGGGTTAAAGAACTTTGAAAAGACAGACGTTCATTTTTTATTTTAACTATAGGCTTGAGAAAAGATGATTGTGGCCTCAGAATCCGGATGCTCTCAATTTTCATCAGCTCGAGCAATTGACTATGTCAAAACAAGAAATCTAGCAACACCTCTTTCTTTTGAACTCTGAACCTAGGAATTTTTTCGCCAGCCTTCCCCCCCCCCCTATCCCGCCCGTCATATGTCGCTGATAGGTGCACGTAAGAAATGTTCCGTCTATTTTTAAAGATTTCTTTTAATCCGCAAATAATATGAAGTAGTGATAACCTAGGTTGATTTTTAGCTCATCCTCTTCAGTTAGAGAATTTCTATGTTAGAAAGATCAGAGGTAATTCTACAACTGGAGCCATGAATTTGGGTTTCCGATCTGATTTTCTCTTGAAGTGGAAGATAGTGAATAGATGAGTGAAAAGCGAAAATGCTCATCTAGTCTTTCTCATATCTTAAGTACAAAAAGATCAAGTAGAATTACTTGAATGTTGCAAACTGTTCTTGACTGGATTCGTATGCAAACAGTTTTTGCCCTTAGTAAATACTAATCGTCTGGAGCGGGATTATCGTGATCTTTTCGATCAGCTAAAATTTCCTTGCCTTCTGTGATGGTGCAAATGAATTCTTTTACTGGTTTTTCAAGACAATTTCTGTCCCAAATTACGACTCCAGATTATGTAGATTCAGCAGGCCCTACTTTGCAGCAAAAATTATATTCGTAAAAAGTAGCAATGTCAGAACCTATTTGAACAAAAGGTTTTACTCCGTGATAACTCCCAATACAAGCTCAACGGTGGCGGACCGAAGGGAGGGGGGGGGGGGGGGTCAGGAGCTTCAAGAAATTTTTGAAAGCTATAAGTTATTGAAATCTGCCAATGACTTCTTCACACTTTTGAATAATCAAGATAATTTCTAATATCAATTTAGTTTTGTAAAAGCTGCCACCCCCCCCCCCCTTTCTTCTACAGTTTGGGGGTCATCGACGCGCAGAAATTTTGAGAAGCACCCCAGATAGCTTTGATTCGGGAAAAAACGTCCTAAAAAATTTCAATGATTTGGAGAAATTTTGTATTTCCAGGAATTAACGTGCAGTCATTAACGCAGATGGCATGCGACGCGCGAATGATGGATGCAGATGCGCGAGCCGCCACTGTACAAACGATCGCTGGCCATATGGAGGATGCTCTCGAAATTCAACGGGAGGTCTGTAATTGCACCAACTACAAATTTTTTCCTATTTTGAGTCATATCCTTCAAGGTCACCGACGTATCGGGTCTCTGTGTATCAAAGCGATGGGGAAATTACGTTACATGTTTATATGTGTTTATTAAGATGCTGTATTTAGGAAACGTTGTATTACAAGTGAGTTTTGAAATTTCTAAATTTTTTTTAGAGATATTTGTATTGCTTCACTTCCAGGTTTTTATCTTGAACAGTTTTCTGGGTACGGATAATTTGTTTTATGGCTTCCACATCTTAAAAGATCTCCTTAACGGTCGAGAATGGGAGGTCAGCGGTAATTTCCCCCGCGTGACAATGTGCGACTTCGAGGTACCGAAATCTACAGTAACTACAGTACTCCCCAGCAGAAAAAAATTTAGCTGGCATATTTTTAGGTACGTGTTCTGGGAAATGTACATCATCACACTGTGCAATGTGTGCTCATGATTAATATGTTCAACGAAAAGATATTTTTATTTCTATGGTCAGTTGTCACGTTAAATACCGCCTATAATAATTTCTTAACAATTTCTTGCAGGTTTTGGTATTTTATGGTGTCTATAGTATCGATCACCTCTATGTTACATTGGATAATCATTTCATTTTTGCCTGGGCAGGTGAGAAATCTGCTCTTTCGTCATTCTGTAAAACATCTGTACAAATCTGACATTTTTCAGCATATGAAGTTCATCCGCAAATATTTGCGAGCGACAGACCTCGCAACCGATCGGCAGTCGGTCAAGAAATTTGTTCATAAATTTCTCGGCTTCGATGGGGTTTGTTTTTTTTAAGTCGATTATTACTTGCAACTGAACATTTCTATTTCAGGTGTTTTGTATGCGAATGATATCAGCTCATGCCGGCGACATAATGGCTACCGAGCTGATAGTGGCCCTTTGGCACAATTTCAACGATCGGGTTCGAAAGGTGGGACTTTTCTGCAGCGGACTTTCCCGCGACGACCACCTCGGTTTGGGTGTCGTTCCGCGGCGGGCTCAAATTTAGCGACTAGAGGTACTATTTTAGAGTATTTTAGAGCCCAATCGAGATGTTTGAAGGCGGCGTGACGCAGTCGCCCAGCAAGCTAGACGCGAACTTCAAGACGTGGTTGCTCGGCCAGACTAGGTATGTGGCTTGTCGAACTTGCTCTGTGCCTCACTTGCTTGCTTCCTTCGCTTGACTTTGTATGCGGCCAACACAATACGCGTGTACGCTAGGCTATGAAAGTGCTGAGTGAGTTGAGAGTGTTCACAGAACTGTCAGGAAGACCCTAGCTAACACTTAGAAACCACAGAGAGTGCGTTGCGCTGGCTGCCGGCAGTGTGCCTGAGTGTAGTGCTGGCTTTCAGGGTGGCCGCGAATGGAGGCGTTCTGCGCTAACCTAGCTGCTTGTTGCAGAGCGAAGCCGCCCTTTGACGGCTCGAATCCAACTCGCGGCAAGAAAAGACGCAAATCCGATGGCTACTTCACGTTCGTGTGACCGCCGCGGCACTGCTGCTGCTCCGCCCGTGTCTCGCTGGCGCCGCGCCACCACCGCGACCTGCCCGCCGCCTCGTCCTCCTCAACGTCACTTCGCCGTCGGCTCAGCAACGATCAACTGCGTCGTCGACCGCCGTCGTCTGGCTGTCTCTGGTCCAACCATAATCCGTTTCTTCGCTCGAGCATTTACGTGCCAAAGTGCTCGATGCTTCTGCTCTCTGGGAATTCTCACTCACACTTTGACGAAATTTCGCCTAACATCGGTAGCAACGAGCACATCATCTCTTTCACGTCGAGCATATGTCTTTCTCAAATTCCCATTCTGAAATTTGAGTTGAAATTGCATTCGTGGCTTCCTAGTATACGGGTATACGAGTTTGTGAGAGATTTGTAATACCGATTTTGTGTCATCCGATTTCCTACTTCTGGTGTTCGCATTCTCGAATATGTTTATATAGATGTCGTCCATAGGTTGAAGAGTATCGAATAATATCATGTAAACTGCCCATAACATTCTTTCAACTAGTACTCTAGATGAGCGTTAATTCACTCGACGTTATTGTATGCTTTCTTGCGACCATGACTTAAATAAGTGTTGTGTGCGAACTTAACGAAGACTCATCTCATTGTTAACCAAGACGACTATGGTGCAATTTTTGAAGGCCAACCTGTACGATTGTTTGATGTTAATTATTGATCTTCTCAATAAATGCATTTGTCTCTATCATATAATAGACACCATAATATGTCCAAGAATTTATCCTTTAGGGACAAATTTAGTTGTTCACAGGTTGTAAATTCTAAATACGAGGATCTACCAGACAAAAGTAGAATGAGCTGCTCGTGGACAGCCAAATGATCACAAAATATTCTTAGGATTAGGAGCTGAGGCGAAGAAATGTAAACGAGAACTTACATGCTTGAGACCTTAGATTGTTCCGAATATACTTGTATTCTCGATCTTCTACGATATATGGCTTCGACCATAAATGCAAACCAAACGGGTTATGTCGAGACCTCTATCAAGTTGATATACATATTCAGTTGTGAAATTGATACCGTTATGTGAAAAGTTTTCAACTTAGCAGTGAAGGAAAAGTTTTTATATAAATTCTGGGACGCAGTAAATGAATGTAAAGAAAACTTTTTGAACACTTGGACATTCGAAGTCGTTTTGAGTAAATCAAGGGAGACATATCTCCCTAACTTGTCGTAATATTTATATTACTCTAGAATATGATAGTCAAGGAGATTATAGGTAATTCGCAGGAAAGTAGTAGAAGTTTCCATTTTTTGAGTTTGTCAAAGGCAAATCCATAATCGATCAACTTACCAGGATAGAGAAGAAAACTTTAGACAAAGCCATGTAAAAAATCTGATAGAAATAATTTGACCAGATCTGCAGACGGATTAAGCGATGGTGATAGTACTAGTCGGTAAGTTTGCAACTGAAAACATTGTAAAGTCGTAAGGTAACAGAAAAATAATCATCTAGAGAAGAAAGAAACTGTTTTCATCGGATTGCTGAAGAAGGACGGGATTCTCGACTGGAAAGGAATCAGAAACTCAAGACTTTGGATCAGCTTATTCAATGTATAATGTTATAAGTCATGAGTTTCAGCATGAGATTCGTACCAAAAAAATTTGCCTAAAGTCAAATCACCTAGAACGAACTTACTGCCTATATAGCTCATCGTCTTTAAAGACATAGATCATTCATTTTTAGGTCTCTCGTCTTGTCACGTCCAGGGCCTGGCATGAGTCCGTTTCTAGGCTTTTTGAAAACGAAGTCCGCTTTGACCTCAAACCATATCTGTAAAAAAACCCTCAAAGAACGAAACGTCGACTAAAAAAACGTGGCAATTTTTTCCGTTTTTTTGACCAAGAAAATGATATCCCCTCTTCTTTTTCGCCGCAAAAACGAAGTCCAGCTCGTTTCCACACAATCTAAGTTGAACCCTGGTCACGTCTGACTATTTTTTCTACCGTTTCAGCTTCCTCTTTAACAGCGATTAGTTGCTGGCTATCTGGTAGATATTCGACTAACTTTTACCGGCGCGAAACCGTGATAAATTCGACGTTAGACTCACTACGACATCGAAGAAAATAAGAAAAGAATATGTAGAACTATTTTCAATTTTAGCACAAAGCTGCTTGAATAATTTAATGCACGGTAATAAACTTTGATTTTGTGGTCCCGACTATTATAGCAGAGATAAGAAAATGCTTTGCATCCTTATGAGGCAACACAGTTAGCCATGCTCCTGGGTTAATGCGTAACTTTACATCAAAAATATGAATAATACATATTAAGAGTGTCAATCCAATAACTTTTACAATGTACTGTTTGTTATGTATAATTAATGTAATCATTTATGATGCATATTGGAATCTCAATTTTGAACAAAAATGGGTACAAAAATTCGACAATCATGACTATTCGTACAGTCACCCGTTCACCACAAATTTTTTTTCTTTTGCGGGGTAAGTAATAAAAGCAAGACACAAAGTTCAGGCTTAGTTAGACTATTTAGCTTCACGACTAAATTTTCAAAAAAGATATATTTTGTTCTTAACTTTGGTTGTTTTATCGAAAGAAAAAAAAGAAAGCTTACATATATCAGCAATGATTTTTGCTCTAATACTGCTAACAAGCGCATGATTTAATAAACAAATTCGTTGGAAATAGACTCTATAGGAGCTTGTAAAAATTTTGGTGCAAAATTCCATGAACAGACCTCCGTTGTAGGTACAATTTTTCAGTGATTTTTCCCAGTATTCTCAATTTTTAGGTGCCAAGTGTTCGAAGGGGAGTTGGGTAGAATAAGAGTTAGCTGGTGTTAAAAGATTTCCGGCAGGTTCAATTATGTTTCCAATGGTCGTTACAGTACCGCAGCTAAAAAGCGGCAAGATGTGCTGCATAAAAACAATAGAATGTCAAAAGCTCATCCCAGACTTCCACTGCATTATTTATATGGTACTCGTGAAAATATTCGACGAAAAAATGGTGCTCAGAAGTTTTTTCCCAAATCAAATAACATGTCGCCCCATTTCTTTTCGTTGTTTTCCGGGTTGGTCAGCTACAATCACTGATTTGGGATGCGGCGTGGCTGTGGTCACTCGGCACTTTGCGATAACGCTGTTTGTGGATTGTTTTTTTATCATTCGATACTAGCGGTAGATATGATAACGAGTTCTTCGATACTGCTCATATGGCCGCTACTGATAATTGATTTTTTTTTATTACTGAGCATGTCATCTTTTGTCCGAATACGGTAGCGGTTATGATTGCCTCTGGGGCGATTAGGACTGTACTCTACCGACAATTACCTTTGCAAGGTTAAAGAAAAGTTGTACAGACAAGGTGGTCTTAGAACACACACAGACGCTTATGCACACTAACCGGAAACCAAACTTTCATTGACGATGTTTTGAAGTGAACTGTCTGAGACAGCATAGTTATCACAAGCAAATAATCGCTTATGGATTTCACTTTGCGAGCAAAGCAATGCCTGTCACGAAGGACTGACTAGCACACGTTGTGAATTAGCGCATGCTTAGCTCTTTCCGACTTACTCAAAGACCAAAGTAAACTTTTACAGTCTCGGCTTTCATCCTCATTACTGCGATCTGAACAGTTCAGCTAGGAGTAAAAGTTACTGTCAGCACAGTTACGCAAACCTAGTCATAATCCTTCTGTTGGCTGAATAGCAGTGGTGTGGGGCCCCGCCCAGTTGTGGGGACCATATTGCAGCGTACCATCGTCACCAGGTCCAGCCCTCAATCACTGTTTATTGCCTTCTTATATGTCATCGTAATTCTGGCTGTTTTAGCTATGCACCATCTGAATAACTTGGAGTCATATTTGAATTCATTTGTGTTTTGAGCCTTCACAAGAACGTTTTCACAATACTGGGATCCTGAAATTGCCCTTTTCTGACAAATTTATTTTAGGTGATGAGTTTTGATGGATTCTCCACCCACTCATCGTCATCATCTCATGTCTCTTCCTCATTTCATGACTTCTCTCTAAGTGAACACTCTTTTGACCAGCGGACATCACTTATCTCGAACTCTTCGCACCCATCTGTAAAGACAGAACAGCCGAGCCCTTCGCAAGATTGGGCTCCAACCAATTTTTCTCCCTATGAAGTGAGTGTAAAGCAAATATGATTTCTTCTTCTTCTTTTCTATATTCAAATTTTCCAATTTTCAGGCTCCCACTTTATACAGTCCATCCCTTGGACCGCCAGTATCAGAAAATGAGAAAACATTCTCATATCGTCGCTACTTGAAGGAGCCTACATATTTCGCTGAACAAGCAGTTTTTCCCACACCTTCTTCAGCATACCAAGGACATACCACATTTTCGGATCTCAGTTTGAGTCACAGCCACAACGGTCAGTACTTCTATAGATAACTAAAACTACACATAACAGCTTCCTCTTGCAATATAACGAATATATCGTGCACGCTGCCATTCATCCATATTTCTGGCGTGCTAAATGGTGCCATAAATCGCCCGAGCGGGGTGCCCAGCTATTTTCCAAGTCTTGGACGCGCGTTCTGTTGCGCAACATGGCCATAGCTCGCATATGTTAAACATCGATATTGATTGGTTGGTGCAAAAACTTAGGGGGTGCGAGGAGAGGGGGGAGGGGGTGGGAGGCTAGAATACAACAGATTACTGTAGCTGGTGGTAACAGCACAGGTCAGAAAGTATAAAAAAGGAGAAGTACAAGACTGCGAACTCTCAGCTGAATCCAACGAATTACTGTAAATTACCGTACTACCGCAAAATGGCGCGAGTGCGAAATCAAGAGAAAGAAGAGATACAAGCAACTTTTATTAACATTTAGCTTTTTTTCCAGAAAGTACCTCACCACAACCAACTGGATTGTTACTACCAGCCGAAGGCAAAGCGCTTTTGATGTGCAAAGTCTGTGGTGACAAAGCCAGTGGATATCACTATGGTGTAACTTCTTGTGAAGGTTGCAAGGTAAGTATATGTGTGAATATAAAAATAATGTGTCAGAAAAAAATCAAGCTTAGATACCATCCCTAGAATTTTTGAGCTCTCCCGCAAATATCTTTTCCTCGTTTTTGTTTTGGAGCAGACTTTAAGAGAACTTTGCTCAACAACAACTTCCAAATTCCTCTCATAGTTCGCCATAAATCCACTGTCATATTTGCCTTAGCGCAATACTCTACTGTATGTCTGTAAATGTGAACGTGCCAACAGTAATGGCAGCAAATTAATAAGCTCTGTCTTTGACTAGCCTCGGACCTCCAAGATTAGCACAGTACCTGCCGTGCATCCTCACCATCCCCACATCTCCGATATCCAGAATTGCGCAACACTGAGCCCCTACTGTCTGTTGGAATTTGCGTAGTTACAGCCAACTATTGATTATATGGATGGGAGCAGACGTGTTATTGGTCCAAGTATTTTTTGTTCTTCAGGGATTCTTCCGAAGAAGCATCCAAAAACGAATGGAATATCGTTGCTTGAGAGATGGAGATTGTTCAATTTTCAAGCAGAATAGAAATCGATGTCAAGCTTGCAGATTCAAGAAATGTGTTGTTGTTGGAATGTCAAGAGAGTGTGAGTTTGAAAATTAAAGATAAGTTTTCGAAAAATCTAAGAAAAAATAAGCTTCTGCGGATACAAGCCTAAGAAATTGCTGCTGTGACAGTTCTAACCTCTAAGACTTCATCTTTCGCACACTCTGAGCATACCATAAGTCTGGCTCATTAGACTCACATTATGAATAATTCATCATTTCTCTCCGAAACTTAATTATTACGGTATCTTCTAGTGCTTGTCAAATACTGGTGCTCGCCAAACAAGGTTTTATAAAGTTTTGAAGTTTTCAGAAATGTAAGTCATCAACCTCTTAGAGCGTCTAGCCCTTTTCATAGAAAGTGTACAATAGGCGTACCGTATCAGCATTTCCGGACCTCCATAGACATTTTCTTGATTTAGCTAGTTGAAATTGTATTTTGAAGTCAAAAATACCTGAAACACTAGATGTGATTTAAAGAGTAAATTGTCATTGAATTAAACTGTTACTGTAAGCTGTAAATTATGTTTTTCTCGTAATTTTTGGAAACACTTACTTGGAATTTCCAGTTGTCAGCGATATTCCTGTGTATGCTAAAAAACTTTGTACGAATAAAGCACGTAAAAATGACCAATTAAAGATTTTAAGCTATTCATAATTCTCCAAATAATCTACTGAGGGTTTAAAATCATTCAGTCCTACACAACCCACCAGCATTATTCAGTTCATTTTTATTTCTTCAAAGTAAATTCAAGCAGTAGCTCCCTTCACTTAGTGAGTATCTGAATACTTTCATGAAAAGAGTTGAATGAAATGACATCCTTTACCACTCATTATTGGTTGCTAAACAGCCGGGTTACGGTAGCCTTAGTCGCATGAATCAATCGTCCACTTCATCATGTAATAAACTCTACCGGACTCCTTTCGATGGCCTATCCCAAATACTTTCATGTACAGTATCTAGCGCGTCCAAGGAGTAATTTAGGGTAATCTCTGAAAGTCCGTTGCTAACGATAAATATCTAAAACTTGAAAAATTTGATTATAAAAAGTAGAGCGGAATAGGATAGTTTGACAAGCAGACCAAACCCAAACAGAAAATCACATCTATGCACCTGATCACCACATTGTAGCAGTGCGCTTTGGAAGGGTGTCAAAGCGACCACCGAAAGAAGCGTCAGACGTGGACACATCAGATCCAGATGACAAACATGAGGTTACCTCTACGACTTCTCCAGAGCCTTCGAAGGTAGAGATCAGTAAGGTTTGTCCTTATGTTTATAATCACTAAAGAGCTGCACTCGATTCATTACTTCTAGCTTATACGATCAATCTATGAAGCGCATGAGGAGTTCTCAGCAATGACAATTAAGAGGCTACGAAGCTTGCCCGAACACCGTATAGATTTTGTAAGTTTTGAAGTGCATAATATTGGGAATCAGTATATTATTTACAGATTGTACCCGAAACACCATCGTTGTCAGACCAGTTGCATGCTTGGGAGATCTACACAGAAAGAGTTACGCCAGACATCCACAAAACAGTCGAATTTGCAAAGCGGGTTCCGGGATTCCCGTCGCTACATTCGGGTGATCAGCAAGCACTGATTAAGGTAAGCTCAATCGAATCTCAGAAACACGAGGTAGGGAGGGAGGACGGCAAGGGGGGGGAGAGGGATTGGGTTCGTAGGCTCATGAAGGGAATACCTTTGAAAAGTGACTAGTATTATGCATCGCGCTTTTTTCAATAAAAGCGTACAATTACATGATTCAAGATGCATGCAAATTTGCCAGTGTAGTAGGTACATTATCACTACACATGCAGAGCACTTTGTAGTACTGGTGGTCCAGGACTTCCGCCCGTGGGCAGGGGGGGGGGAAGAAGGGAGGACCAAAAAAATTTCAAAGGAAGGTGCGTAGCCTTAGCCACGCACTCCGAAAAGAATTTTGGGATATTTCCCAGAATTTTAGCGGGCACATAATCCTCAAATTTAGAAGAAGGGTCGCCCCCGAAATTTTTTTCAAGGCTAATTTGAATTTTTGAAAAAAAAATTTAATAGTTAATTTAATTATTTACAGGTATAAACAAGTCACTTGTACATTATTACAACCCGTGTAGGTAGGTGTCAAATCGCGACCCAGATCTCGGGAGGGGGAGGGGATGTCCTCCGCCTCAGTCCGGTTTAGCTTTGTAGATACGGTAATTGAGAGATACAATTAGCTCAAACAGTACGCTAGGGAATGCTTTTCGCCAGAAATTTTTAGAGAACTTTCACTCAATATTATCCGGTCAAAGTACGTCTAGCAGACCATTTGACTAGAAAAAAGTCATCGCAATAGAACTTTCTACATATTAGGTACTTGATAAGGGTCTCGCTTTTTCGAACGTGCAAATGATTTTACTAATGCTGCATTTTCAACCATAGCTGTCTATTTTTTATAGATATTGATGAAGCTAAAAAAGCAGTCTGTACTAGTATGCAAATTTTCAGTCATCATTCTTCCGTGTCTTCTTGATGAGAACGTATCGAGGCTTTTCTTCGCAAGGTCTTCTCTTGGCCGACGGAACCCTATTCCCAACCGGATTTCTACAGATAATTTTCGGACAGTTTCTTGGCGAGTTGCGTTCCTTCGCCCACTCGGTCGAAAGTCTGAACCTCAGCGATGAGATAATTGCAATTTTTGCGGCCATTCTTCTCACAACTACAGGTAAGCTTGGCATTCTAACATTCTACTATTTTATTTTTGCATTCCAGAAAATATCTACTATCATTCGAAAATAGAAGTGAATCGTATACAAGACAGACTTGTTTGCGCTTTAAAAACAAAATTGGAGGAATCCGCGGATATCGTAGTTTTCGACCTTCTCATGTCCAAAATCAGCCAACTCAGAGAGCTAGGTAAGTTCCTAGTTGCAAATCTATCTACCGTACACATTACATTTCAGCAGCACACCACGACAAAATTCACGATGTTCTCCGGTATAATCTGAATGTCGTCAAGATTCCAGCACTCTATTCAGAGATTTACTATTTGGAGCACCGATGCGATCCTCTCACTGTTCGTACTTCCGAAAATGTGTATTAACGTTATTTTTTGTTGATGTAGGCTAGGAACTAATTCCTCTACCTCTATGTACCTCTATGTCAATCTCATTTCTATTTTATAAGCTGGAAGCGGCCCATGTGCGGGAATTTTCAAATCAGCAGAAAAAACTTAGCAAGTTCAATCCAGAGAAAATTCGCAAGAACATTGTTTGGCTAAATTTTCTGGTTTGACGGAGCAGGCCCATAACTGGCATCGCCATTACTTCTTCACTGCACAGATTTGTCCGTTCACACGATGCAAGTGAGCTCGGTGATCAGTCAAATCCTTGCATTTGGAAGTAATTACAGCTGTAGCCAGCTCGATCCTTGTATGACTTCGATTCAAGAATATTATGGGAAGATGTACAACTATTTCCATTCGTACACATTCTACAGTAAACCTCAACCCAGCTTAGGTGTATAAACGGATACTAAAGATTACAGGTTAACTTCTGATATACAGCACATTTATTCCAAATACCTCAAACATTCGCACTACTTGTCTTTCCCCCATACTTCGATTCCTAATGCACTCTTTCATTTCGTGTATTTCCCCACATAAATATATATATATGGCAATCCAGAAAAGCATCTCATGTACAGACATCTAGAAACAGAAAACAGATTCCCAAGGAAAGAAGAACAAAAAGCAACAAAGGGTTAACGAAAAAAAATTACAATTCATGCACGGTATCCGTATAACTGCTGACGAAAATGCAAACTAGTATAAAATACTATTATAAATTAAGTATCAGCCCATTCAGAATCGGAAGACGAACAACTCGTAAGTCCATTGCCGTGATAAATTAGATTCCATATGTTGGATCCTTTGGTTTCTCAACTATGGGTTCATGTCGAATGGGAACCTAGAAGTGAATTTTCTACCGTCAGGGGAAAAGAAATGGAAAGAACAGAAGCAAAGCAGTGTGAAGAGAGTACATATCAAATCACCCAATCCATCAACTCTATGTTTGATAGGAACAGAAAGAATAGAAACTGCGGATTCAGAACTGATTTGAACACATAGAATGAGCAAACTAAGCTTTAGAATCTATCGCGTTCTGCGAAGAGTAGTAAAACGTAGGAAATGGCCCGAAAATAACCGCAAACTAGCCCAAAGATAGTGCTTTCATGATATTTCATCGCATTTTATCGGATACTAGTGGTATTTTCTAAAAATAAACGAGGTTACCTCCACAAAGAAATCCAACTATTCCATAGAATTTCAGCGGTTGCCCTTCAAGTCAAGCTAACGGTAAAACAAAGCACTAATTATGAAGAAATTCTGACCTGTGTCAAGTTTTCCCTCCATTTCCTAGCCTATGCGACAAGTTTCTCAATGAAACAGATAAACTCTGCTACCGTACTCGATAGAGAGCAACACAAAAAAGTAGCCAGACGTGTGAGATACCTGTTGTTGCTGTGGAACCTGTTGTTGTGGAACCTGTTGCTGTTGATACTGTTGTTGTGGAACCTGTTGCTGTTGATACTGTTGTTGTGGAACCTGTTGCTGTTGATATTGTTGTTGTGGAACCTGTTGCTGTTGATACTGTTGTTGTTGTTGTTGATACTGCGGTGGCTGCTGAGGTATTTGTCCCTGCAAATCAGATTTTACTTGAAAAAAAAAACAGTTGCTACTACAATGGCGCTGAAAAGCTAATTTACAATTTTACGATTAGATCGGAAACTGATAAGAACCATAACTTGACATTTAGCACTAGCGAAGGAATGGACTTTTTGCGATAAGTAAAACATTCCAAAAAAAGGAAGGTATCAAGATGCAGAAGCACCTTGGAGCGCAGTGTGACAATGTAAGAAAGTAGGTTCTCACAATAAACAGGAGATTCAGATACCGATCCCTATACATAAAAGACTGAAAAACTCGAGCAAATAAAATTACCTGTTGCGGGTTTATTTGCTGTGGTTGCTGCTGGTGGAATTGTTGTGCTTGCACGGGTGGAAGTGCTGTAGTGGTTATTTCATAGGCATGTTCTCCCCATCCTAGGCAATAAGTCGAAACAAAAAAATGGATGCTTACGCCTTTCCCATCGCCCAAGAGTTTTTACTAACGCACGACTGAAGAAGGTAAGAGAATGAATTTATAGATACTTGAGAAAAGAACAAGAAGTTAGTCCCCTAACCCAAAAAGGGAACACCAGGCCCAAGAGTGAAGGGGAAAAAAGGAAAGATTCATTGCTCACCTTTCTTCTTCGCATATTCCTTCTCAAATTGCTGCAGTTCCTCATCAGTATAAACCTTAACATTTTATTGTGTGATGTCGGCGGCAATAAGCAATTGCAAGTAGAAATCAACCTGCTGGTCACCAATGTCCTTCCAACCGGGATCATCATCAGGGGTTTGTGCCTCAGTATCCTGTAAATAATATTACATCTCTAATTGCTTGCGAGATCGCTCAGAGGGAGATGTGGCAAAAGTACCTGGAGAAACTCCTCAAGTGAGATTAGACGATCTCCATTTTTATCCATCTGCTTGGTCACGTGCTCTCGCATTCGATACATTTCTTCCATCCTAAAGAGCGCAACAAATGTTGAGAATATATATAATGCAGCTTTGTTGACAAACCGTTCGCGAGGATCATCATCGGGATTCGTTTCGTTGTAAAGTTTTTCGAGCTCCTTCTGGAACAGGGCTTCCAACTCATCAGCGTTCCAGTACCCATCACCATTCAAATCATGAAGAGCAAAGAATGTTCGCGGGTCAAAATTGTCTTTGTCCATCTGTAACCACGTTTGATTTAAGAGCAAGTGAAATAAATGGTTGATTTATCAAGTAATGCTATGTCAAATTGAATTTTCTAATCCTGATGCCAAATGTCAATCTCGGATTACAGAAGGTTAGTGGATTCCTTCGAAAGACGCATAAATGGTGACTGCGCTATGGCAGGCAAGAGCAAAACGTTGCTTAAAGGCAGTGGACAGGCAGAATGGACCCTTCTCGAATATTGGTGGATTTAGGAAGTAGATCCCCCAAGGTACACCGTAGCCCAAACCCCACCTGCCAATTCATGTGCTAAGTCCTGAAAATGCGCTTCAAAACTTCACCAGTCCCGCCCACTCAGTGGAAATGGGCGTGCTGGTGGAGTTCACATTTTCAGGACTTAGCGCATGAATTGGCAGGTGGGGTTTGGGCTACAGTGTACTTGGGGGTCTACTTCCTAACCCCACCAAAACTCGAGAAGGGTCCATTTTGCCTGTCCACTGCCTTTAACTGCAATAATGCCATCCTTTACAAGCACTACGAAAAAAAAACATTCAAAATAAAACGTACATGATCCGTTTCTTCCCAAACTTCTTCAAGCTGGTCGCGACTTCCCGGATGTTTCAACTTTTCATGCTCATTATGTCGTTTTCTCGCTTCCTCAGCCTCATGCATGGCCTTAGCCCGTTCCTGCAAGTACAGAAAATTAATTTGTATGGAGCGGAAATAAGAGCTGAAACTGACTTGTTCTTCCATCTGAGCAAATTTATGGTCTTCTTCTGCTTTTTTACGCATTTCGTATTCCTTGAACTCCTTTTGACGTTGTTTGTCCATTTCTTCCATGTCTTGCACTGTCTAAAAAACTTCACCATCAGTCGCACCAATGTCACGACGAGCACGTTCATCTGATTCTTATAAGGTCGCGCGAAACTAGCATTAAATAAGGCCACTGGGCCAATCTACTGCTCTACTGGTATGACTTTGGCTTTCAGTAAACAAAGACTCACTCGAAGGATCAATCTTCTTAGATCTTCTTTTCCAAACTTTTCCCAATTCGTAGCATCCAAATGCTCTGGCATCTTGACATTGTGCGCCCCACCATCCGCCTATAACAGCGAAGTGCTATCAACAGGATATCGCACCCGAGTAACAGACCTCAATCTGCTTTTGGATTTGAACTCGTAGTCGCTCGAGCTCATCAAGTTTTGCTTTAGTCAGCTTGTCGAACACATGGCTATCAAGATCATCAATATGATCTGCTATTTTCCCCGACTAAAAATCGGAAGGATGAAGTAGAACAAGTGAAGGGAAAATCATTCAAGCAAAAAATTGTAAGAGAATTGAAATGACCTTTATGTCTTCTTCCGGCATTCCACGAATTTTCTCAGAAAATTTCGGATCACTTTCGAGGATCTTGACTACTTCTTCGAGGTATTTGGAGTATGTGAATTGATATAACTAGAAAAGGAAATATGGACATCGAAAAACACATGTGTGGAACCTCTTAGTACACGAACCGGTTTCTGCCCTGTTTCATCATCATCCGGAGTAGTTCCTTGCTGTGCTTGAGCATTGTTCGGGCTAGGCTCCTGAAATTTTAGATAAATCACTTTCATCAGATAAAATTAGCTATTCGCGCAAACCTGTCTCTCTTGAGTCGCCTGATGCTCAATCTGAACTCTCTGTGGTGGAGGTGCAACCGCCAGTCCAACCAACCCAAATAATAAGAGCAGGGGAAACCCCATGTCGGAAAAGGGCAAACATTCAAATAGAATAGATATTCATCAATCAAAACACGAACGGTAGAGTGCATGGAGGACAATTCCGACAGACTGCAAAAAATGAAAGCGGAAGCTACCTTTTGAATGTATGCAAAGCTGTCAATGAACTTGGCAGTTAACAGCATATTTATGAAAATGGGTCTCGAATTTGCAGGGATTATTGAAACTTACACGTGTTTGAAAAATTGTTGGCAAGTTAAATACAGCCAAAGACAATCGTGCGGGGACCCCTTCGCACAGGCTCCTCCCATCCGAGATTCGAGTATGCGCAATTGTTAGAGTAGAGAATGTAATGTTCTTTTGCCATCACTGCCGTAGATGATGTGGAGTCCTCTCAAAGGTTTTGCATCATTGTATCAAAATCATGACTTTCCTCAGGAGCCGACTTTCTCAACTCCTATGCAATTTCATGCCGCGTGTAATTTGCATGAATAATGATGATGATGTCATGATGACGTGTTATAATTTTTCTGACTTCGGCGAGGAAGTTGTCGATGCAGTGTGCTTTTGAATAAGAAGAAAGTGTGTAACTTTGTTCGATATTAGCTTTTTCTGAAACACCATGAAAGTAATAGTAGAGTAAAAGTAGAGTTTTTTGTAATTCAAATCTACGGTGACAAAATGCTTGAGACCGTCTAGCAAGCAACCCTCACTGACTGAGTCATCATTCTATGCTATGGCAAGGTACACCAGGAAATGGCAAAGGCATGAGTATCCTCTGGTAAAAGCGGAAACAAATGCCAGAATGGTTGCGCACCATCTATTGTGTATCAGCACAAGAAGCTTACGAGAAAGGATACCTGGTATCCGTGGCCATTTGGAATGCGATTACCATAAGATGCAACTCGAAACGGTGATTTCAGACCTGTGCTTGATATTTGCGAAACGTTCTTTTGGAAGTTGTGAGCTTTATTTTTTCGAGAAAAAATTGCGTACTTTCGGGTAGCCAGGATTACCAAATCGTTCTATCAGGTTGTCCCATAAGTTTCGTCCGTTATGATTTTCAATCACAAAATTCATGTACTTATTACAGTTAAATGGGCTTCAAAGTACCATTCGATAGAGATAAGCAAGCTCTACAAAATGGTTCTTCATTCTTGGTTTTGCATCAGATCTGATCCATTTCGAGTTTCAAACCGAAAACTGAAAGGATTCATCTCCCTGAAAAATCAAGAGAAAATCTTAACTCTGTCTAAAAAAAATTTTACAAAAATTCTAACTTGCTCACTCAAACACTATTTATATATTTTTTCCTTGATTAGAATTCATAAAAACGAAAATTTTCATGCTTTTGCCAAAGTGATGCTGTGTTGTCCCTACACAAGTGATCGTATAATACTAGACTGTAGAAGTACAAAGACAAATTTTCAGCTCTTCAAGGGCTCTAGTTCTCAAAAAATATCGAATTTAGCTTCCTTTAGTCGACTGACTTACGCTAAAATCCGTGCTTCTCGAAAATTAGAGCTCTTGGAGAGCTGGAAATTTGTCTTTTTACTTCTACAGACTAGTAGTACACAACTATCATTCATTCTCTGACTAGGAGATGCGAGCACGCTTTGCGTATGTACATTTCATTAGCAAGTTCATAAATGAGTCTAAACTTGTTTTGGTTGATTTACTATTAGAATTCGTGGGAAAACATGTTTGAGCTCGTTAAACCACGCTGGCTTGAACACGTTCTTTCACGAATTTCTGAAAGTAATTAACCAGAACGAGTTAGAACTCATTCATGAACTTGTTGATCACATGTACGCAAAGCTGCTCGCGTCTCATAGTCAGAGAATGAATGATACTTGTGCAGGTACAGCACAGCATCACTTTGGCAAAAACATGAAAATTTTCTTTTTCATGAATTCTATTCAAAGAAAAATACGGTAATGGCGTATGTAACTGTTCTTAACAGATTTGTAGGATTTCTTTATAGAAGGCTACGATATTTTTCCGGGCATTTGGATCATTTTAGTTTTTGGCCATAACTCAAGGTGGATTAAAGCTGGTACAAATGCAAGAATGCCATATTGTAGAGCTTGCTTAGCTCTATCGAAATGTTCCTTGACGCCTATTTAGATGTGAGAATTGTACGACTTATTGCTATGACCTATGGGGCAACCTGATAGTTTACCGTTTGAAGCTATCAAGAAGAATCTCAGAAAGAGTACTATTGTATTTATACTTATCTAAATCATATACACATTTGAAAAGGAAAGAAAATTTTTTATTAGTGATATCGACCCTCCGCAGTAGCGCACTTCATTCTTGAAAAGATAATCATAACTCCATACAAGTCATCTTTTCGCAGATATGGAAGACAGTACTCGAACCAGCATTAAAAAGCGATTTTTTTTAATATACAAATCGTTATGAATAGCCACAGTCACGTATCCTTCCCTTGTCAGAAGTCCGGTTAATCGTTTGTTTCTTGATCGGGAAAGCACGGTAAATTAGACGCTTTTCAGAATTGCTTGGTTTCGAATAGTAGACCCTCAATACGCCGTTGCCGCATTCCACCCTCTAGTACTTGCGCCAATCCTTAGAGTCTGCTTCGGGTTGTTTCATACTGCAGTTGTTGCAGCAACTACAGTTATCTTGATGTGGGCAATGAATATCGTTCGATTGAATGTCGTTGTTGCAGCGGCTGCAGTATGAAACAACTCTTCAAAGTTCCATCAGCCATGTGCAGTCAACGAAGGTGTGCGTTGGTGGTTAGCGCATGTAGAGGCTGGAACCGGGCTACAGTGTAAGGTGTTTGGAGCTCCTACTACGCATATCACCGCATTCTGAAAAGCGTCCATTTTGCCGAGCCACTGCCTTGAAATGATGTTCACGACTTTGAGGCCTGTGAAACTCCTTGAATAGTAGGAAAAACCTAAAACCTACTACTCAGATTCCTTTTTTTCAGATCATGGAACTAAGAGTGGATTTTTGAACGGCATGTTTGTTGCAACGACCATTGTAGTCAGCAAGCTGAATGAGCGTTTAGGTTAGGGAAAGAGCTCCTTCGGCTTTTGAAAACCTCGAAAGCCTTTTGTTTGGGTGAGCTTTGTCCTAGCTTTTCGTCGCCATGTGGAAAAAGACTCTCATTTCTGTGCTTGGGCATGAAGTCCATGACAAATAAAGCTACTCTTGCATAACATCATGTATAAGCAACATTAAAGAATCTGCAGCACAACTCAAGAAATATCACAAAGGTGGATGTTACGTTTTATCCTGTGCTCACAGAATTCTGCTTCAAACATCGAAACGGTTCGAACCTTTTGGCATCAGTGATACCCGACAACCCTCCCACCCCCTTTGCATTGTGTGATCTATATGTGTGTAGAACTGTGTGGAATATCTGTATGTGTGTACGAGCAACCTAGAGTGATCGGAGCTGCATTGCAGTAGCGATACTGTCGGGCTCATGTTGTGCGCAGAGCGTAGGTATCAGCTCCTATGGATCGATATCCCGAGACAGTTTGGGCATCTGCAGCTGCACGCGCAGAATGCATAACGTGACTTTTAAAACGAAATCACGTGAGAGCTGCAGACTTGTATGGTCAGCCGCTTTGCTTAATAATCGCTGACATACAGTCGAGTAGGTTTTCCGCTTACCTAATATAGTGTGCTTGCACTGAAGGTGAAATGCGGTAAAACCTGTAATGCCAACCTTTTGCGCGCGCATATGGCCGGTGTCACGGGCGCAGCTATGTGTTTACGCGCAAATTTTACCGCATCTCACCTTTAGTGAAAGCACACTATATTAAGCAGAAGATCTACTCGACTGTGTGGACTTTCCACTCGCATAAGTTATGCTAATCAAACAGTTATTAATTTCGCAGAGGTTGTTGTTAGATGTACCGACTCGCGCCTTCACACAGCCCTCTTATCTTTGATAGTGTCAGACTAGTACAGCATTTAATTTTGATATGGCCGGGCGTCTCAAGATGTAATAATTATGGGCAGTCTGCCCATTACAGACATTCACAATATACTAACAAGGGAAGGATGGTTAGTCGAAGTGGACTTTAGAGATAAGATGTATGCCGATTCAAAGGTCCCAATAAGCTGATTCCAAATATGTTTTCCTTATCTGCGGAGCATATAGAAAGAGGAGTTTTGGGCACTTATTAGAGCGGGAATTTGTATGTGCAAGTAGGATAGAAATATTCGTAACATTTTTTCTAGCGCTTAGATGAAAACAGAAATAATTAAGTGGGAACTTTATGCATTAAATACTTATAGATAATGTATTTTCACACTCCGGTGAATCATTCAGGCATTAAAAAAGTTTTAGCAAGTGAGTTTATCCAGATGAGCATTCAATTTTTGCTCGAATAAACGCCCAAAAGTCCTCGTCCATGAAGACTCCGCAGACCAGGAAGACAGATTTAAAACCAGCATTTTATGCTTTCTTATATGGTATACACCCCATTTTAAAAGGCCACTTCAACCAAACTTCATTTCCTTTTCAGTTATAATGGTCCCCGAATGTCATCTACCTTCACCGTCGAATAGAAAGCACAGTATCTTGTAAAACCTTACGAGGCCCCAAACATAACTTTCGATAGCCATGACTCCAAGTGGATTGGTTATAAAAGGGATGAAAGAAGCAAAATGTGCAGAGGAAAATCTGTTTTTTTTTTACTTGAGTTGTACATTTGTGAAGGCTACACTTACAAGGGAATGGTCAGAAGTCGAAGTGGCCAAACCAAACAAGCTGTATATCATTCGATGCAGTATAAAACGCTGACTTCGAATCTGTCTTCCTTATCTGCTTCCCGCTTCTGTAGACGAAGCTACAAGCGGTTTTATTGTGAAAAAATCATACATAAAAACAGCGAAATTGAGCACATTGTTGCACTTTTAGCTCGGCTTCTGGCTTCAAAAATTTTAGGTAAGCTAGCTGCATGTTTTGACCCAGCATTGAGGCGAACGAGGCTCTGCACGGCTAAATTTTCAATTTCACGCATAATTTCTAGGCAAAATAATGGTCTTTAATGGCTTATAACTTCGTCCA